AAGGGCTTTTTTCGGGGTTAAAACCTCCGAGGACCCCCCTGGGTCTCAGGCTTTCCAGTGCTGCATTTATGTCCGGATTTCTAAGCTTTTTTCGGGGATAGAACCTCCACAGAATCCCCTCGGTTCTGGGACCCGCATGGCCCTATTTTAAGCCGGATTTAAGGGCTTTTTTCGGGGTTAAAACCTCCGAGGACCCCCCTGGGTCTCAGGCTTTCCAGTGCTGCATTTATGTCCGGATTTCTAAGCTTTTTTCGGGGATAGAACCTCCACAGAATCCCCCCGGTTCTGGGACCCGCATGGCCCTATTTTAAGCCGGATTTAAGGGCTTTTTTCGGGGTTAAAACCTCCAGGGACTCCCCTTGGTTCTGGGACCTGTCATTGCTCTTTTTCAAGGCAAATTTCATGCGCTCTCTCCCGGGGAGAAATGCGCCCACCCTTATTCTTTGAGAATATGTGTGCACTTGTTTTCAACTCCTGGTGGGTTCCATAACCTGAGATTCCACTCACGTCATGGGGACTGGTTTTACGTGGTGGGGCCCGAACACCGGACCCCACTGGTCCAAGCTTAATAATCAATGGGTAATGCTTTTCTAACGGTCCTTATGCAGTCTCTGTAAAAATATGGAAAGGACCCCTGGAGGTTTACTTTCCTGAAAAAAGTGTGTTATGTGTCGGAACCCTGGGTGGTGGGTTGCGGGATATCAAGGAGGGGCACACTGGGGCAATTTCAGTCCAGCAGGCTGGAGCCAATCATGGAGCAGCACAACAGAGGAAATCAGGTGTCAGGCTAGAAAAAGGTGCAAGTGTGTGGTTCATTAGGCTGCAAGAAATCATGGAGGAGCACACTGAAGCGCACGCTTACAAACCACTGGTAAGTGCTGACTACAAGTCATGACTTCAAATTGTTATATAGAATGATTACAAATTATTTGTTGTTTGTGCAGCTTAGTCAAGAGTCCCTAATTGATGAAGTCGACTCAGATTCTGACGATTTAACTGTCAAGAAGAAACCTGTAAAAAAGTATGGAAAAAGAAAAATCAAAAACACTTTTCTTCAAGACTCGGAAAGTGACGAACCAAAGGCAAATAAGATTGTTATCATGCAGCTGCAAAAGAAAAAAAATGGGGGGCGAGTTTACAGCAAGAGACACTTCTGCCTCTACTGTTCAATGTCCTGCCACAAAATGTCCCGTCATTTGACTAGAAAACATGGAAATGAAAGTGACGTAGCCAGAGCATTGGCTCTACCTGTGAAATCTAAAGCACGTAAACTTCAGTTTGATTTGATCAGGAATAGTGGAAACCGTGAGCACAATTTTGAGGTTTTAAAGGCCGGCATTGGAACTTTAGTCCCAGCTAAACAGCCAAATTCCCCAGTTAAATCCAGTGAGTTTTTGCACTGTATAGACTGTGGGGCATTGCTTAAGCGAAAGTCGCTGTGGAGGCATGTGGCCAGGTGCCGGCTTTCACAGAAAGATGCCCAGGCTAAACCAGGTAGAAGTAGGGTCCAGTCCCTCTGCTCCCTAGCCCAGCCTGTACCGGAGGGCATCAGCAAAAAGGATCATGCTCTCAAAATGGCTCTTAAAAGTAAGAAAGATAATGATAGGCGATTGTTTACGTCTCTAAGAAATAAAGTCACAAAACTGATAAGAAATCAAAAGCTTCCTTTTTCATCAATGTTATAAATAATTCAAAGGGGAATGCAAAGGAAATATGGCAGAATTTAAACAAATTAACAGGAAAAAATGCTAAAGAAAATAAACCAATAAAATTGAAAATAGAGGAAACTGTCTATGAGGATGCAAGTGTAGTTGCCAATGCTCTTAATAATCATTTTGTCGCATCCATACAAAAATTGACAACTCATAACCAATCTAATTTTAAAGTCGAACCTATAAAAATTGATGCTCCCGTATTGACATTCACAGAAGTAACTCAGTCAAAGATAGAAACAATCATCTCATCTATTAAGTCCTCAAGGGCAAAGGATATCTATGATATTGATACCTTGTTTTTAAAATCAAATAAGGTAACATTAATCCCATCCTTATGTAAATTAATAAACTGGTCAATCACTGAAGGATTATTTCCCACTGCCTGGAAAACCGCTGTGATCACACCCATCTTTAAATCAGGGGATCACACAAATATAAACAATTATAGACCAATAAGCATTCTCCCGACATTATCAAAAGTATTGGAAAAATGTGTCTCAGAGCAAATCATTTCTCATTTAAATCATTCACCATTTAAGTTGCATCAAATGCAATTTGGATTTCGTAAATTTCATTCTACCGATACTGCAAACATTTATCTTACAGAGAATATCAAATCAAAATTGGATAGAGGGGGTATAGTTGGGGCCATCTACCTCGACTTAAGAAAAGCCTTTGATACTGTCAACTCAGACATATTAATTGCTAAATTATCTAAATTTAACTTTTCACCTAAGGTGCTACAATGGGTGGCATCATACTTAAAAGACAGGAAACAGTGCGTCAGGGTTAATAACAAAACATCTGAAGTAATGTATAACTCTATAGGTGTGCCCCAGGGCTCAACCCTTGGCCCTTTACTCTTCAGTTTATTTATCAATGATTTACCTGATGTATGTTCTGAAGCATCATGTCAGTTATATGCTGACGACACCATCATTTATGTTCACGCAAAAACGAAACAGCTGGCGGCAGAGAAGCTGTCATCTGTAATGGTGTCAGTCTGTGACTGGTTAAAAAATTCAAAATTACACTTAAATACTGATAAAACTATGTGTATGTTCTTCTCTAAGTCGGCAACTAAAGAGAGCGATCCAATAGTTTTGGTGAATGGGCAAGCACTACAAGTGGTGCAAGAGTACAAGTATTTAGGTGTCACCATGGATTCTCAATTATCATTTAAAAAACATGTTAAGAAATTGAGGAACAAAATTAAATTCAATTTAGTGAATTTTAAACACATTAGAAATAACTTAACAACTGATGTTTCAAAATTATACCTAAACGCCACAATTCTCTCGCATATTAATTACTGTATGACGAGTTGGTCTCAGGCCAACAAGACTACACTGTTGCCCATAGAAAGACTTTATAAGCAGACAGTAAAAACATTAGACAAAAAGAATAATTCATATCACCACTGTAAAGTTTTTACCAAACATAATTTCTTAAAGTGGGATCAGTTGATAATGTACTCTGATGTAATTATGGTCTATAAAACCCTAAATGGACTTGCACCGCCTCCATTACAGGAGTTTATACAGCTGAATGTAAATACAAACACGCGCTCATCAAGCAGAGGAGACTGTAGAATCCCATTTAGAAAAACTTCATTTGGACAATCTGCCTACTCAGTACGCGCAGCACATTCCTGGAACTTGATTCCAACAGAATTGAGGAACCTGACCTCATTTCACATTTTTAGGAACTCTGTGAAGAAGTGGCTTTTGGACAATCAGACATGTGAACACAACATGAACTAAAGTCACCAAACACTGATACATGTCTTGCTGTGGAGGATTTTGGTGTTGTGTATATTGTCCCTTTCTGAATTTTTAGTTGAACAAATTCTTATATATTCCTTGCATTTTTAACTATATGTTGTATTCTTCTTTCACTGTCTTTTTATGTCTCTGTGATGGTGTTTCTGCTGTATGTTTGTGCCTGTTGTATGTCCTATACTACCTATCTTGACATCAACCTGCCATGGGACTACGGATGAAAATTAGCCTATATGGCTAACTCCGGCGCATTTACATGTTGAAAAAACACATGTTGATTAATGTGCACTGTCCCAATTCAAATAAAGAATTTAAAAAAAAAAAAAAAAAAAAGCTGTGGTCTTTAATTTCGGCAATGCATCAGGATGAGGTCACGGGTGTTGTCAAAGCAGAAAAGGGGATTCTGAGACTCGGAGAGCACCTGTACTTAAAACACGGGCATGATAAGACTAAGCATGATTGCATTAGGCAGAAAATGAGAGAAGTCGGTAGGTTAATTAACGAAGCAAAAACCGCAGGGAAACTGAAAACAATTAAGGATTTCTTTATTCCTTCCAACTTTAACCATGTGATTGATGCAGTCAGGTCTGTGGCTGGATATGATGAGGAAACAAATCAATACAAGACTCCATCCTTGGCCCTCAAACTCGGCCATAGCCTCAGAAAGCTAGCAGATATTCTTGAATGTGACTCAAAAATGGAGCATTGTGTTGATGAACTATTTATTAAAAACCTCCAACGAAGCCGGCTGCTTTTTGAGAAGAGGTGGGACGTCTGTGTTTCTTCTGCTGCCCTACAGACCCTCCGGCAAGCCAAGTGGAACACTCCGGACCTGCTCCCTCTGACTGAGGACGTTAGAGCCATGCATGCACATATTGAGGTATGTCGACCTGAATATGTGCAAACCCTAATAAGTGAGCCAACGTCTAAGCATTGGTCTAAACTGGCAGTTTTGACTCTTTGTGAGGTCATCATTTTCAATCGAAGAAGGGAAGGTGAGGTTTCAAAGATGCTACTGACAGCCTTTACCTTAAGAAGTAAGACTGGGATCCATTCTGACATTGCTCTGGGACTGTCCCAACTTGAGAAAAAGCTGTGTCAGCATTTTCAACGCATTGAAATTAAAGGGAAAAGAAGTCGGAAAGTGCCGGTTCTTTTGACTCCTGAAATGATTGCTTCGATGGAGGTGCTGGTGGAGAACAGAAGGGCCTGTTCCATCTCTGACCATAACCCATACTTCTTTTCCCGCCCGGGCGCAGACACCCACATCAGGGGATCAGACTCCCTACGCCAGGTAGCCAAAGAATGTGGTGCGGTGCATCCAGAGATGCTATCCTCAACCAAACTTAGAAAGCACATAGCTACTATGTCTACAGTTCTCAATATGAAAGAGAATGAGATGGACATACTTGCCAACTTCCTCGGCCATGACATTCGCATCCACAGGCAATATTACAGACTACCAGAGGGGACACTGGAGCTGGCCAAAATCAGCAAAGTGTTGATGGCCATGGAGCAGGGAAGAGTGACGGAATTCGAAGGAAAGAGCCTCGACCAGATACAAATTGAGCCTGAAGGTAATTCTTGATATTATTAAAATATGTATGATTTTTTTCCCCTAAAGGCCACTTGTATTTTTATTTTCTGTGCGACAGGGAGAGCAGTAGAGATCCTCTCACAAACGGACGGGCTAAAAGAAACTTCAAGCGGAGAACCTTCAACCATTCATCCAGATGCACCCCATGGTAGTGGCAGTGCCCCTTCTGGTAAGTGTACCAGGTGGGGGATTACAGCCAGGCTGCTTGGTCCTCACCCTGGGAGTGTATATTGCTAATATATTTTTATTTCTCTCCCTAGAACGTGTAAGAAAGCCATGGTCTGCATCTGAGGTGAAGGCTGTGGAGAAGACCATGACACCTTTCATACAGACTGGAAAGGTCCCTGGGAAGTCTCACTGCCTGGCCTGGCCTGGCCTGGCCTGCATTAATGCCTCACCAGATGACCTTAGACATCGGACATGGAGTGGCATTAAATTCTATGTCAAAAATAGAATCACTGCAATTCGAAAACAAAATCTAAAATAAAATTCCTTTAAAATAGTTGTTTGTTTTCTATTGACTGTTTTGTATTACTTAAAGTAGTCCCAGTAAAAAAAGATTATGTCTATGGGTCCCATTCTGAACGGCCCTGTCAAAGGGACCCACCAGGTAACAAAAACGTGTATGTGTGTGTGTGTGTGTGTGTGTGTGTGTGTGTGTGTGTGTGTGTGTGTGTGTGTGTGTGTGTGTGTGTGTGTGTGTGTGTGTGTGTGTGTGTGTGTGTGTGTGTGTGTGACTGTGTGTGTGTGTGTGTGTGTGTGTGTGTGTGTGTGTGTGTGTGTGTGTGTGTGCGTGTGTGTGTGCGTGTGTGTGTGCGTGTGTGTGTGCGTGTGCGTTATCTCCTCAGCTGCGGATAGCTTTAATCTACTGCATCTTTTGAAACTTTTACCGCCTTCCCCCTGGACACACTGCCACTTCTCTCAATCCAAAGTTTCGGGTCTACACAAACCTGTGCGACCGGGCGGCAAAGCTCAGGTCCCAGTACAAGCCACACCTGCCCTGAAGTCATGCAGTGTCTGGTCCTTCTCACCATCTCGTTCATCTGCTCCACCATGGCTCTCCACTACTCCTCCCTCACTGATTCTGCTGCTCCTTCTGGTCCTCACTGATCCTCCTGCTCTTCCTGGTCTTGTGTTGGACTCAAACCCACAACCTTCAGGCTCAAAGGCCGATGTTCGACCAACTGAGCCCGTCCCATCAACACATTTCTGCTTAAATCGTCCAGTAGTCTCTTTGTGCAGTCCTACCCTCCCCACACACACATAAACACACACATGCACATACACAGACACACACACACACACACACACACACACACAGAAACACAGTTCTGATCGGGTTTTTCTGTTTGTTTAGAACAACACAATAGTTTGTAGACACAGTGTTGAATTTCACAAGTAAAGTTATCTGTCTCTGCTGCACAAACCGGTTTAATGAGATATAGAAGTATTACAGAAGTATTACAGAAGTATTACAGAAGTATTACAGAAGTATTACAGAAGTATTACAGGAGTATTACAGGAGTATTACAGGAGTATTACAGGAGTATTACAGGAGTATTACAGGAGTATTATAGAAGTATTATAGAAGTATTATAGAAGTATTATAGAAGTATTATAGAAGTATTACAGAAGTATTAGAGAAGTATTAGAGAAGTATTAGAGAAGTATTACAGAAGTATTACAGAAGTATTATAGAAGTATTACAGAAGTATTACAGAAGTATTACAGAAGTATTATAGAAGTATTACAGAAGTATTAGAGAAGTATTATAGAAGTATTATAGAAGTATTATAGAAGTATTATAGAAGTATTACAGAAGTATTACAGAAGTATTACAGAAGTATTACAGAAGTATTATAGAAGTATTATAGAAGTATTATAGAAGTATTACAGAAGTATTACAGAAGTATTACAGAAGTATTATAGAAGTATTATAAAGAGTTTCCTCTTGTGTTTTCAGTATCTGGAGCTGCGCTTTAACAAAACAGTCAGAGTCTGTGGAACCATCACCTTCATCTTTCAAATGGTAGGTTTTCACTTGATGTGTTCGTGTTTGCTTGAACTTGAACTGTTTTACGTGATTATAAAACAGATATAAATAATGAACTGAAATCATTAGAATAGGATTCAGTTTATTTGCAGTAAAACCACATTGGAATCCATGGGGCCTCAAACCAGGCCTCAAAGGGCCGTTGTGGCTGCAGGTTTTCATTCCAACCGAGCAGGAGCACATCAGACTCCACCCACTTCCTTTAGCTAATCCAGGGTTGACCTGAAGACTTGAGTGTGCTCCTGCTTGGTTGGAATGAAAACCTGCAGCTGATAATATAATATAAAACTTTATTGACACAACAGAGAAATGTACGTGTTACATTTGGCTTCAAAAGGATCATGTGGTTTGTGCAAACGGTTCACGGAACAAAGATATAAGTGTAAGGGGTCTTCTGTGTAACAAGGCCTGGCACCTCTGATCTAGAACCCACCAGGGCCACCAACACCACAGTTATATTGCACCTTTATCTATACAAACATTGAAGTTTAGAGCCAAAAGACTGACATAAATACTGCATATATGAATAATAATAATATAAATACTGTTTCTCCGGTGCAGGTGATTTACATGGGGGTGGTGCTCTATGCCCCAGCCTTGGCTCTGAACGCAGGTATCTCACTCACAATCTAATGAAACTCCCGTGTTCTGATCCAGTAACAGTTTTCTTGTTGCAGTGACTGGTTTTGACCTGTGGGGGGCAGTGTTGGCGATGGGACTGGTGTGCACGCTGTACACGGCTCTGGTAGAATAACTTGTGATAACATTGATTTGACCGCTACAGATATTCTGATGTTTAACATAATGCTGTAACAGGGAGGACTGAAGGCCGTGATCTGGACTGACGTGTTCCAGACCGTGGTCATGTTTGCGGGACAGTTGGCCGTGATCGTGGTGGGGGCCAGTCAGGCCGGGGGCATGGGGCAGGTCTGGAGCAAAGCCATGAACGGGAGCCGCATATCTGGACTAGAGTGAGTTTTAATGTTAATATGATCTCATTCTAACGGCGACTTACAGAATGGGACGACATGTGTCCAGTTTACATTATAGCCACATATACCGCTAACATGTACAATAGTATCACATGCTAATAACATGTGCAGTAGTATCACATGATGCTAACATGTACAGTAGTATCACATGCTAATAACATGTACAGTAGTATCACATGATGCTAACATGTACAGTAGTATCACATGCTAACATGTACAGTAGTATCACATGATGCTAACATGTACAGTAGTATCACATGATGCTAACATGTACAGTAGTATCACATGATGCTAACATGTACAGTAGTATCACATGATGCTAACATGTACAGTAGTTTTATGATTTTGAACCTTCAGAACCTGATAATCTTATTGATCTTCTTCTAATGCTGTGTCTGTTAAAGCCTGAATCCAGACCCTCTGGAGCGTCACACTTTCTGGACTCTTGCCGTGGGCGGAGTCTTTTTGATGCTGGCGTTGTACGGAGTGAACCAAGCTCAGGTCCAGAGATACCTGAGCTCTCGCTCGGAGAAAGAGGCCGTCATGTGGGTCTTGATCTGTTCCCTGTGGTCTCCTTCTGACACTGACGCTCTGCTCCGTGGCCTGCAGGTCGTGTTATGTTGTGTTTCCGTGTCAACAAATCGTCCTCTCGATGGGCTGCTTGATGGGACTGGTGATGTTCGCTCGTTATGGAGAGGACAGTCCACTGGACAAAGGATACGTCAAAACTAATGACCAGGTGAAGTCTTACTGGTCCTTCTGTTTCTGAGGCATTAACGAGGGATCCACTGATGTTTCTGTCAGGGTCCATGCCGATGATCAGCTGTGAAGGACGCCATAACAGATAGATAGATATACAGATAGATAGATATACAGATAGATAGATATACCGATAGATAGATATACAGATAGATAGATATACAGATAGATAGATATACAGATAGATAGATATACAGATAGATAGATATACTGATAGATAGATATACAGATAGATAGATATACAGATAGATAGATATACCGATAGATAGATATACTGATAGATAGATATACAGATAGATAGATATACCGATAGATAGATAGTGGTGATCGGTCGTCTCAGCTTTAAAGGTCCTATATCACGCTTTTCTTCATGTTTCACACTCAGTCCTCTGCACATGTGTGATATTAATGTGTATGATACACCACACAACAATCAAAGCTTGTGAGATTAGAGCCATCTCTTGTATAGAGGTGACGTCACCTCGACTCAAACGAGCTGATCCAGAGTCTGCTCCTCTGCCTGTGAGCCCGCCTCCCCCCGCCCTCACCCGCCTCCCCCCGCCCTCACCCGCCTCCTCCCGCCCTCACCCGCCTCCCCCCGCCCTCACCCGCCTCCCCCGCCCTCACCCGCCTCCCCCCGCCCTCACCCGCCTCCCCCCGCCCTCACCCGCCTCCTCCCGCCCTCACCCGCCTCCCCCCGCCCTCACCCGCCTCCCCCCGCCCTCACCCGCCTCCTCCCGCCCTCACCCGCCTCCCCCCGCCCTCACCCGCCTCCCCCCGCCCTCACCCGCCTCCCCCCGCCCTCACCCGCCTCCTCCCGCCCTCACCCGCCTCCCCCCGCCCTCACCCGCCTCCCCCCGCCCTCACCCGCCTCCTCCCGCCCTCACCCGCCTCCCCCGCCCGCACACTGACGTAGCATCACGCTCTTGTCGTTCGGGAGGTGATCCGTCAATCACCTCCCGCCGGCTAATAAACTACTGTGGGCTTGTGTATGAGGCCAAATAGCATTGTAATCATGTTTAAAGCAGAGAAAAGTCAAAAACCGTGATATGGGCCCTTTAACTGAAGTGAATGTGTGTGTGCAGATGGTGCTGTACTTTGTCATGGATGTGTTCCAGGACCTGCCTGGTCTTCCTGGACTCTTTGTCGCATGTCTTTTCAGTGGAGCTCTGAGGTGAGCACACAATGTACAACACATGCTAATATGAGCAACAACAATATCACAAAAGTTCAAATACAACTGAAACCTCTTTAAATATGTCGCACAACGTCTACAATCAACACAACACATATTTTAGGCTGTGATGTCATTGGTGTGGACAAACGATGTAGAGCCCTTTGTCCCTATGCCCTTATGTCCCTATGTCTATGTCCCTATGCCCTATGCCCTTATGTCCCTATGTCTATGCCCTATGCCCTTATGTCCCTATGCCCTTATGTCCCTATGTCTATGCCCCTATGTCTATGTCCCTATGCCCTATGCCCTTATGTCCCTATGTCTATGTCCCTATGCCCTTATGTCCCTATGTCTATGTCCCTATGTCTATGTCCCTATGCCCTTATGTCCCTATGTCTATGTCCCTATGCCCTATGCCCCTATGTCTATGTCTATGTCCCTATGCCCTTATGTCCCTATGCCCTTATGTCCCTATGCCCTTATGTCCCTATGTCTATGTCCCTATGCCCTATGTCCCTATGTCTATGTCCCTATGCCCTATGCCCCATGTCCCTATGTCTATGTCCCTATGCCCTTATGTCCCTATGTCTATGTCCCTATGCCCTATGCCCCTATGTCTATGTCTATGTCCCTATGCCCTTATGTCCCTATGTCTATGTCCCTATGCCCTATGCCCCATGTCCCTATGTCTATGTCCCTATGCCCTATGTCCCTATGTCTATGTCCCTATGCCCTATGCCCTTATGTCCCTATGTCTATGTCCCTATGCCCTTATGTCCCTATGTCTATGTCCCTATGCCCTATGTCCCTATGTCTATGTCCCTATGCCCTATGCCCTTATGTCCCTATGTCTATGTCCCTATGCCCTTATGTCCCTATGTCTATGTCCCTATGCCCTATGCCCCTATGTCTATGTCTATGTCCCTATGCCCTTATGTCCCTATGTCTATGTCCCTATGCCCTATGCCCCATGTCCCTATGTCTATGTCCCTATGCCCTTATGTCCCTATGTCTATGTCCCTATGCCCTATGCCCCATGTCCCTATGTCTATGTCCATGCCCCTATGCCCCTATGTCCCTATGTCCCTGTGCCCTATGCCCTATGCCCCATGTCCCTATGTCCCTATGTCCCTATGTCTATGCCCTATGTCCCTATGTCTATGTCCATGCCCCTATGTCCCTATGTCTATGTCTATGCCCTATGTCTATGTCTATGTCCCTATGTCTATGTCCCTATGCCCCTATGCCCCTATGTCTATGCCCTATGTCTATGTCTATGTCCCTATGTCTATATCCCTATGCCCCTATGCCCCTATGTCTATGTCCCTATGTCTATGCCCTATGTCCCTATGCCCCTATGTCCCTATGCCCCTATGCCCCTATGTCTATGTCCCTATGTCTATGCCCTATGTCCCTATGCCCCTATGTCCCTATGCCCCTGAGCCACTGGTTGCAGATGTTGGTAGGTTGTCAGACATGTTTCCTTGAGTCCAATATTGAAAAGCAGAATAATGTGTTATATTTCCATGAGCTCATACTGTCATAAACTCCTGTCCTCATTAATGACCCGGGAGTCACAGAGCTGGGAAAATGTAGCAGCTTATATTTTGGCAATTACAGAATTCTTAAAGAGAATTTTGAAGAATAATGATTAAGACATTAAATATTCTTTCTTTTATTTAGTACCATTTCTTCAGCGTTCAACTCTTTGGCCACGGTGACGATGGAGGACCTGATCAAACCGTACTTCCCGGCGATGGCAGAGTCCAGAGCCACGCTGATGTCCAAAGGCCTGGGTACGAGCGTGACACATTCACACCACTGTATTCTCAGGGTTCATGTGCTTCTCCTATTTTCAGCGTTGGCTTATGGTCTTGTGTGTCTGGCCATGGCCTACATCGCCTCCTTAATGGGATCAGTGCTGCAGGTAAAACAGGACATCATCTCAGAGACTTAACAACACCATTAACTTCACCAACACAGACCACATGGTACTGGACCATAGAGAGAGACCACATGGTATTGGACCATAGAGAGAGACCACATGGTATTGGACCATAGAGAGAGACCACATGGTATTGGACCATAGAGAGAGACCACATGGTATTGGACCATAGAGAGAGACCACATGGTATTGGACCATAGAGAGAGACCACATGGTATTGGACCATAGGGAGAGACCACATGGTATTGGACCATAGAGAGAAACCACATGTTGTAGAATGTTAAAGTGTCCTGGATCATGTTAGACACTAACTGTAACAGACTCCAGCATCAGAGGAAAAACTCTAAAACTCCACAGAGAGAGAGAGAGAGAGAGAGAGAGATCCACAGAGAGAGAGAGATCAGCAGAGAGAGAGATCCACAGAGAGAGATCAGCAGAGAGAGAGATCCACAGAGAGAGAGAGATCCACAGAGAGAGATCCACAGAGAGAGAGAGATCCACAGAGAGAGAGAGATCCACAGAGAGAGAGATCCACAGAGAGAGAGAGAGAGAGAGAGAGAGAGAGAGATCCACAGAGAGAGAGAGATCCACAGAGAGAGATCAGCAGAGAGAGAGAGATCCACAGAGAGAGAGAGAGAGAGAGATAGAGAGATCCACAGAGAGAGAGAGATCAGCAGAGAGAGAGATCCACAGAGAGAGATCAGCAGAGAGAGAGATCCACAGAGAGAGAGAGATCCACAGAGAGAGATCCACAGAGAGAGATCCACAGAGAGAGATCCACAGAGAGAGAGATCCACAGAGAGAGAGAGATCCACAGAGAGAGAGATCCACAGAGAGAGATCCACAGAGAGAGAGATCCACAGAGAGAGAGATCCACAGAGAGAGAGAGATCCACAGAGAGAGATCCACAGAGAGAGAGATCCACAGAGAGAGAGAGATCCACAGAGAGAGAGAGATCCACAGAGAGAGAGATCCACAGAGAGAGATCCACAGAGAGAGAGATCCACAGAGAGAGAGATCCACAGAGAGAGATCCACAGAGAGAGAGATCCACAGAGAGAGAGAGATCCACAGAGAGAGATCAGCAGAGAGAGAGATCCACAGAGAGAGAGATCAGCAGAGAGAGAGATCCACAGAGAGAGAGAGATCCACAGAGAGAGAGAGATCCACAGAGAGAGAGATCCACAGAGAGAGATCCACAGAGAGAGAGATCCACAGAGAGAGAGAGATCCACAGAGAGAGAGATCCACAGAGAGAGAGATCCACAGAGAGAGAGATCCACAGAGAGAGAGATCCACAGAGAGAGAGAGATCCACAGAGAGAGATCCACAGAGAGAGAGATCCACAGAGAGAGATCCACAGAGAGAGAGATCCACAGAGAGAGAGAGATCCACAGAGAGAGAGATCCACAGAGAGAGAGAGATCCACAGAGAGAGATCCACAGAGAGAGAGATCCACAGAGAGAGAGATCCACAGAGAGAGATCCACAGAGAGAGAGATCCACAGAGAGAGAGAGATCCACAGAGAGAGAGAGATCCACAGAGAGAGATCCACAGAGAGAGAGAGATCCACAGAGAGAGATCCACAGAGAGAGAGATCCACAGAGAGAGAGAGATCCACAGAGAGAGAGATCCACAGAGAGAGAGATCCACAGAGAGAGAGATCCACAGAGAGAGATCCACAGAGAGAGAGAGATCCACAGAGAGAGAGAGATCCACAGAGAGAGAGATCCACAGAGAGAGAGATCCACACAGAGAGAGATCCACAGAGAGAGAGATCCACAGAGAGAGAGATCCACAGAGAGAGAGATCCTCTCCACACTGTATTGTAATGGTTCACATAAAGATCTGTGAGAAACTTGAGATAATAACGAGCCATAACTATTTCTTTTTGCGTTTATACTTTTTTCTTCTTCCTTGTTTTATAAAATGGCTAATTCTGATGTTTGTTTTCTTCCTCAGGCTGCCTTCAGTATCTTTGGGATGGTCGGGGGTCCATTGTTGGGTTTGTTTTGTCTGGGAATGTTCTTTCCTTGGGCCAACTCCACGGTAAGTCCATCTAACTGACCTAGTCCTGTTAGCACACATCGGCTGTAATGCTGTCTGCTGCCTCCAGGGGGCAGTGGTGGGCCTGTTCGCCGGGCTGGCCATGGCGTTCTGGATCGGCATCGGGAGTTTTGTGATGCGTGTGTCCAGCTCCAACATCCCCATCGTCAACGCCACGATGGCTCCTCTCTTTGACAACGCAACAATAGGGGCCATGTTTAACACCACAACTGTTAAGCCCAGGTCAGGTCTCTCTCCTGAGGTCAGGTCTCTCTCCTGAGGTCAGGTCTCTCTCCTGAGGTCAGGTCTCTATCCTGAGGTCAGGTCTCTCTCCTGCAGCCAGGGATCTGCTGAAACAGGGCAGACTGGTTCTCACTCTCTCTTATCCCTCCTCTCTCCTCTCTCCTCACTCCTCTCCTACTCTCTCCCTCTCTCACCTGCAGCCTCTCCAGTCCTTTAATGCTCCTGCCCTGTGGCCCTAACGACCGCCCTAACGACCGCCCTAACGACCGCCCTAACGACCGCCCCTAACGACCGCCCCTAACGACCGCCCCTAACGACCGCCCCTAACGACCGCCCCTAACGACCGCCCCTAACGACCGCCCCTAACGACCGCCCCTAACGACCGCCCCTAACGACCGCCCTAACGTTTGCCTACAGGCCCTCGGGTGTGCAGGCCCTGTACTCCCTGTCGTACCTGTGGTACAGTGCTCATAACTCCACCACTGTGGTCATCGTGGGGCTGCTGGTCAGCTTCATCACAGGTACTCACTCATCACTCATGTGTTCATCGTACAGTCTGACTGACCTGTGTGTTCATCGTACAGTCTGACTGACCCCTGTGTTCATCGTACAGTCTGACTGACCCCTGTGTTCATCGTACAGTCTGACTGACCTGTGTGTTCATCGTACAGTCTGACTGACCCCTGTGTTCATCGTACAGTCTGACTGACCTCTGGGTTCATCGTACAGTCTGACTGACCCCTGTGTTCATCGTACAGTCTGACTGACCTCTGGGTTCATCGTACAGTCTGACTGACCTGTGTTCATCGTACAGTGTGACTGACCTGTGATCTCTGGGTTCATCGTACAGTCTGACTGACCTCTGACCTCTGTTCAGGGCCCATGAAGGAGAGCGAGCTGACCCCAGGTACAGTGTTCCCGGTGTTGGGGACTCTCCTCTTCTTCTTACCGCAGCGATACAAAGACACGCTGTGCTGCCGGACCCCACTCTTACCAAAGGTACAGACCCCACTCTTACCAAAGGTACAGACCCCACTCTTACCAAAGGTACAGACCCCTCTCTTACCAAAGGTACAGACCCCACTCTTACCAAAGGTACAGACCCCACTCTTACCAAAGGTACAGACCCCTCTGTTATCAAAGGTACAGACCCCTCTGTTATCAAAGGTACAGACCCCTCTCTTACCAAAGGTACAGACCCCTCTGTTACCAAAGGTACAGACCCCTCTCTTACCAAAGGTACAGACCCCTCTGTTACCAAAGGTACAGACCCCACTCTTACCAAAGGTACAGACCCCTCTGTTACCAAAGGTACAGACCCCACTCTTACCAAAGGTACAGACCCCACTCTTACCAAAGGTACAGACCCCTCTCTTACCAAAGGTACAGACCCCACTCTTACCAAAGGTACAGACCCCTCTCTTACCAAAGGTACAGACCCCTCTGTTACCAAAGGTACAGACCCCACTCTTACCAAAGGTACAGACCCCACTCTTACCAAAGGTACAGACCCCACTCTTACCAAAGGTACAGACCCCTCTCTTACCAAAGGTACAGACCCCACTCTTACCAAAGGTACAGACCCCTCTCTTACCAAAGGTACAGACCCCTCTGTTACCAAAGGTACAGACCCCACTCTTACCAAAGGTACAGACCCCTCTGTTATCAAAGGTACAGACCCCACTCTTACCAAAGGTACAGACCCCTCTCTTACCAAAGGTACAGACCCCACTCTTACCAAAGGTACAGACCCCACTCTTACCAAAGGTACAGACCCCTCTGTTACCAAAGGTACAGACCCCTCTCTTACCAAAGGTACAGACCCCTCTCTTACCAAAGGTACAGACCCCTCTGTTACCAAAGGTACAGACCCCTCTGTTATCAAAGGTACAGACCCCTCTGTTACCAAAGGTACAGACCCCACTCTTACCAAAGGTACAGACCCCTCTGTTATCAAAGGTACAGACCCCACTCTTTACCAAAGGTACAGACCCCACTCTTACCAAAGGTACAGACCCCACTCTTACCAAAGGTACAGACCCCACTCTTACCAAAGGTACAGACCCCACTCTTACCAAAGGTACAGACCCCTCTCTTACCAAAGGTACAGACCCCTCTGTTACCAAAGGTACAGACCCCACTCTTACCAAAGGTACAGACCCCACTCTTACCAAAGGTACAGACCCCTCTGTTATCAAAGGTACAGACCCCACTCTTACCAAAGGTACAGACCCCTCTCTTACCAAAGGTACAGACCCCACTCTTACCAAAGGTACAGACCCCACTCTTACCAAAGGTACAGACCCCTCTGTTACCAAAGGTACAGACCCCTCTCTTACCAAAGGTACAGACCCCTCTCTTACCAAAGGTACAGACCCCTCTGTTACCAAAGGTACAGACCCCTCTGTTATCAAAGGTACAGACCCCTCTGTTACCAAAGGTACAGACCCCACTCTTACCAAAGGTACAGACCCCTCTGTTACCAAAGGTACAGACCCCTCTGTTACCAAAGGTACAGACCCCACTCTTACCAAAGGTACAGACCCCTCTGTTATCAAAGGTACAGACCCCACTCTTACCAAAGGTACAGACCCCTCTCTTACCAAAGGTACAGACCCCACTCTTACCAAAGGTACAGACCCCACTCTTACCAAAGGTACAGACCCCTCTGTTACCAAAGGTACAGACCCCTCTCTTACCAAAGGTACAGACCCCACTCTTACCAAAGGTACAGACCCCACTCTTACCAAAGGTACAGACCCCTCTGTTACCAAAGGTACAGACCCCTCTCTTACCAAAGGTACAGACCCCTCTCTCTTACCAAAGGTACAGACCCCTCTGTTATCAAAGGTACAGACCCCTCTGTTACCAAAGGTACAGACCCCACTCTTACCAAAGGTACAGACCCCTCTGTTACCAAAGGTACAGACCCCTCTCTTACCAAAGGTACAGACCCCTCTGTTACCAAAGGTACAGACCCCTCTCTTACCAAAGGTACAGACCCCCCCTCTTACCAAAGGTACAGACCCCCCTCTTACCAAAGGTACAGACCCCCCCTCTTACCAAAGGTACAGACCCCTCTCTTACCAAAGGTACAGACCCCCCTCTTACCAAAGGTACAGACCCCCCTCTTACCAAAGGTACAGACCCCTCTCTTACCAAAGGTACAGACCCCTCTGTTACCAAAGGTACAGACCCCTCTCTTACCAAAGGTACAGACCCCACTCTTACCAAAGGTACAGACCCCCCCTCTTACCAAAGGTACAGACCCCTCTGTTACCAAAGGTACAGACCCCTCTCTTACCAAAGGTACAGACCCCACTCTTACCAAAGGTACAGACCCCACTCTTACCAAAGGTACAGACCCCCCCTCTTACCAAAGGTACAGACCCCCCCTCTTACCAAAGGTACAGACCCCCCTCTTACCAAAGGTACAGACCCCTCTGTTACCAAAGGTACAGACCCCTCTCTTACCAAAGGTACAGACCCCCCCTCTTACCAAAGGTACAGACCCCCCCTCTTACCAAAGGTACAGACCCCTCTGTTACCAAAGGTACAGACCCCTCTCTTACCAAAGGTACAGACCCCTCTGTTACCAAAGGTACAGACCCCTCTCTTACCAAAGGTACAGACCCCCCCTCTTACCAAAGGTACAGACCCCCCCTCTTACCAAAGGTACAGACCCCCCCTCTTACCAAAGGTACAGACCCCCCTCTTACCAAAGGTACAGACCCCCCTCTTACCAAAGGTACAGACCCCCCCTCTTACCAAAGGTACAGACCCCTCTGTTACCAAAGGTACAGACCCCACTCTTACCAAAGGTACAGACCCCTCTCTTACCAAAGGTACAGACCCCACTCTTACCAAAGGTACAGACCCCTCTGTTATCAAAGGTACAGACCCCACTCTTACCAAAGGTACAGACCCCACTCTTACCAAAGGTACAGACCCCTCTGTTACCAAAGGTACAGACCCCTCTCTTACCAAAGGTACAGACCCCACTCTTACCAAAGGTACAGACCCCTCTCTTACCAAAGGTACAGACCCCACTCTTACCAAAGGTACAGACCCCTCTGTTATCAAAGGTACAGACCCCACTCTTACCAAAGGTACAGACCCCACTCTTACCAAAGGTACAGACCCCTCTCTTACCAAAGGTACAGACCCCACTCTTACCAAAGGTACAGACCCCTCTCTTACCAAAGGTACAGACCCCACTCTTACCAAAGGTACAGACCCCACTCTTACCAAAGGTACAGACCCCTCTCTTACCAAAGGTACAGACCCCACTCTTACCAAAGGTACAGACCCCTCTGTTACCAAAGGTACAGACCCCTCTCTTACCAAAGGTACAGACCCCTCTGTTACCAAAGGTACAGACCCCTCTCTTACCAAAGGTACAGACCCCCCCTCTTACCAAAGATACAGACCCCCCCTCTTACCAAAGGTACAGACCCCTCTCTTACCAAAGGTACAGACCCCCCTCTTACCAAAGGTACAGACCCCTCTGTTACCAAAGGTACAGACCCCTCTCTTACCAAAGGTACAGACCCCTCTGTTACCAAAGGTACAGACCCCACTCTTACCAAAGGTACAGACCCCTCTCTTACCAAAGGTACAGACCCCTCTGTTACCAAAGGTACAGACCCCTCTCTTACCAAAGGTACAGACCCCTCTGTTACCAAAGGTACAGACCCCACTCTTACCAAAGGTACAGACCCCTCTCTTACCAAAGGTACAGACCCCACTCTTACCAAAGGTACAGACCCCTCTGTTACCAAAGGTACAGACCCCACTCTTACCAAAGGTACAGACCCCTCTCTTACCAAAGGTACAGACCCCTCTGTTACCAAAGGTACAGACCCCTCTGTTACCAAAGGTACAGACCCCTCTCTTACCAAAGGTACAGACCCCTCTGTTACCAAAGGTACAGACCCCCCCTCTTACCAAAGGTACAGACCCCACTCTTACCAAAGGTACAGACCCCTCTCTTACCAAAGGTACAGACCCCTCTGTTACCAAAGGTACAGACCCCCCCTCTTACCAAAGGTACAGACCCCTCTCTTACCAAAGGTACAGACCCCTCTCTTACCAAAGGTACAGACCCCACTCTTACCAAAGGTACAGACCCCTCTCTTACCAAAGGTACAGACCCCTCTCTTACCAAAGGTACAGACCCCTCTCTTACCAAAGGTACAGACCCCACTCTTACCAAAGGTACAGACCCCTCTGTTATCAAAGGTACAGACCCCACTCTTACCAAAGGTACAGACCCCACTCTTACCAAAGGTACAGACCCCACTCTTACCAAAGGTACAGACCCCACTCTTACCAAAGGTACAGACCCCTCTCTTACCAAAGGTACAGACCCCACTCTTACCAAAGGTACAGACCCCTCTCTTACCAAAGGTACAGACCCCTCTCTTACCAAAGGTACAGACCCCTCTCTTACCAAAGGTACAGACCCCTCTGTTACCAAAGGTACAGACCCCTCTCTTACCAAAGGTACAGACCCCTCTGTTACCAAAGGTACAGACCCCCCCTCTTACCAAAGGTACAGACCCCACTCTTATCAAAGGTACAGACCCCACTCTTACCAAAGGTACAGACCCCTCTGTTACCAAAGGTACAGACCCCTCTCTTACCAAAGGTACAGACCCCTCTGTTACCAAAGGTACAGACCCCTCTCTTACCAAAGGTACAGACCCCACTCTTACCAAAGGTACAGACCCCTCTCTTACCAAAGGTACAGACCCCTCTCTTACCAAAGGTACAGACCCCTCTCTTACCAAAGGTACAGACCCCTCTCTTACCAAAGGTACAGACCCCACTCTTACCAAAGGTACAGACCCCTCTCTTACCAAAGGTACAGACCCCACTCTTACCAAAGGTACAGACCCCTCTCTTACCAAAGGTACAGACCCCTCTCTTACCAAAGGTACAGACCCCTCTCTTACCAAAGGTACAGACCCCTCTCTTACCAAAGGTACAGACCCCACTCTTACCAAAGGTACAGACCCCACTCTTACCAAAGGTACAGACCCCTCTCTTACCAAAGGTACAGACCCCACTCTTACCAAAGGTACAGACCCCTCTGTTATCAAAGGTACAGACCCCTCTCTTACCAAAGGTACAGACCCCACTCTTACCAAAGGTACAGACCCCTCTCTTACCAAAGGTACAGACCCCTCTGTTACCAAAGGTACAGACCCCTCTCTTACCAAAGGTACAGACCCCACTCTTACCAAAGGTACAGACCCCTCTCTTACCAAAGGTACAGACCCCTCTCTTACCAAAGGTACAGACCCCTCTCTTACCAAAGGTACAGACCCCTCTCTTACCAAAGGTACAGACCCCACTCTTACCAAAGGTACAGACCCCACTCTTACCAAAGGTACAGACCCCTCTCTTACCAAAGGTACAGACCCCACTCTTACCAAAGGTACAGACCCCTCTGTTACCAAAGGTACAGACCCACTCTTATCAAAGGTACAGACCCCACTCTTACCAAAGGTACAGACCCCACTCTTACCAAAGGTACAGACCCCACTCTTACCAAAGGTACAGACCCCTCTGTTATCAAAGGTACAGACCCCTCTGTTATCAAAGGTACAGACCCCTCTCTTACCAAAGGTACAGACCCCACTCTTACCAAAGGTACAGACCCCTCCAAAGGTACAGACCCCACTCTTACCAAAGGTACAGACCCCTCTGTTATCAAAGGTACAGACCCCTTGTTACCAAAGGTACAGACCCCACTCTTACCAAAGGTACAGACCCCACTCTTATCAAAGGTACAGACCCCACTCTTACCAAAGTACAGACCCCTCTGTTATCAAAGGTACAGACCCCTCTGTTATCAAAGGTACAGACCCCTCTCTTACCAAAGGTACAGACCCCTCTGTTACCAAAGACAGACCCCACTCTTACCAAAGGTACAGACCCCACTCTTACCAAAGGTACAGACCCCTCTGTTATCAAAGGTACAGACCCCACTCTTACCAAAGGTACAGACCCCTCTGTTATCAAAGGTACAGACCCCACTCTTACCAAAGGTACAGACCCCACTCTTACCAAAGGTACAGACCCCACTGTTATCAAAGGTACAGACCCCTCTGTTACCAAAGGTACAGACCCCTCTGTTACCAAAGGTACAGACCCCTCTCTTACCAAAGGTACAGACCCCTCTGTTATCAAAGGTACAGACCCCACTCTTACCAAAGGTACAGACCCCACTCTTACCAAAGGTACAGACCCCTCTGTTATCAAAGGTACAGACCCCTCTGTATCAAAGGTACAGACCCCACTCTTACCAAAGGTACAGACCCCACTCTGTTACCAAAGGTACAGACCCCTCTGTTACCAAAGGTACAGACCCCTCTCTTACCAAAGGTACAGACCCCTCTGTTACCAAAGGTACAGACCCCACTCTTACCAAAGGTACAGACCCCACTCTTACCAAAGGTACAGACCCCACTCTTACCAAAGGTACAGACCCCACTCTTACCAAAGGTACAGACCCCTCTCTTACCAAAGGTACAGACCCCACTCTTACCAAAGGTACAGACCCCTCTGTTACCAAAGGTACAGACCCCTCTCTTACCAAAGGTACAGACCCCACTCTTACCAAAGGTACAGACCCCTCTCTTACCAAAGGTACAGACCCCTCTGTTACCAAAGGTACAGACCCCACTCTTATCAAAGGTACCCCCACTCTTACCAAAGGTACAGACCCCACTCTTACCAAAGGTACAGACCCCTCTCTTACCAAAGGTACAGACCCCTCTGTTATCAAAGGTACAGACCCCTCTCTTACCAAAGGTACAGACCCCTCTCTTACCAAAGGTACAGACCCCACTCTTACCAAAGGTACAGACCCCACTCTTACCAAAGGTACAGACCCCTCTCTTACCAAAGGTACAGACCCCACTCTTACCAAAGGTACAGACCCCTCTGTTACCAAAGGTACAGACCCCACTCTTACCAAAGGTACAGACCCCACTCTTACCAAAGGTACAGACCCCACTCTTACCAAAGGTACAGACCCCACTCTTACCAAAGGTACAGACCCCTCTGTTATCAAAGGTACAGACCCCTCTGTTATCAAAGGTACAGACCCCTCTCTTACCAAAGGTACAGACCCCACTCTTACCAAAGGTACAGACCCCTCTGTTACCAAAGGTACAGACCCCTCTGTTATCAAAGGTACAGACCCCTCTGTTACCAAAGGTACAGACCCCACTCTTACCAAAGGTACAGACCCCCCTCTTACCAAAGGTACAGACCCCACTCTTATCAAAGGTACAGACCCCACTCTTACCAAAGGTACAGACCCCTCTGTTATCAAAGGTACAGACCCCTCTGTTATCAAAGGTACAGACCCCTCTTCTTACCAAAGGTACAGACCCCTCTGTTACCAAAGGTACAGACCCCACTCTTACCAAAGGTACAGACCCCACTCTTACCAAAGGTACAGACCCCTCTGTTATCAAAGGTACAGACCCCTCTGTTATCAAAGGTACAGACCCCTCTCTTACCAAAGGTACAGACCCCACTCTTACCAAAGGTACAGACCCCTCTGTTACCAAAGGTACAGACCCCTCTGTTATCAAAGGTACAGACCCCTCTGTTACCAAAGGTACAGACCCCACTCTTACCAAAGGTACAGACCCCCCTCTTACCAAAGGTACAGACCCCACTCTTATCAAAGGTACAGACCCCACTCTTACCAAAGGTACAGACCCCTCTGTTATCAAAGGTACAGACCCCTCTGTTATCAAAGGTACAGACCCCTCTCTTACCAAAGGTACAGACCCCTCTGTTACCAAAGGTACAGACCCCACTCTTACCAAAGGTACAGACCCCACTCTTACCAAAGGTACAGACCCCTCTGTTATCAAAGGTACAGACCCCACTCTTACCAAAGGTACAGACCCCTCTGTTATCAAAGGTACAGACCCCACTCTTACCAAAGGTACAGACCCCACTCTTACCAAAGGTACAGACCCCTCTGTTATCAAAGGTACAGACCCCTCTGTTACCAAAGGTACAGACCCCTCTGTTACCAAAGGTACAGACCCCTCTCTTACCAAAGGTACAGACCCCTCTGTTATCAAAGGTACAGACCCCACTCTTACCAAAGGTACAGACCCCTCTGTTATCAAAGGTACAGACCCCTCTGTTACCAAAGGTACAGACCCCTCTCTTACCAAAGGTACAGACCCCTCTGTTATCAAAGGTACAGACCCCACTCTTACCAAAGGTACAGACCCCACTCTTACCAAAGGTACAGACCCCTCTGTTATCAAAGGTACAGACCCCTCTGTTACCAAAGGTACAGACCCCACTCTTACCAAAGGTACAGACCCCACTCTTACCAAAGGTACAGACCCCACTCTTACCAAAGGTACAGACCCCTCTGTTATCAAAGGTACAGACCCCTCTGTTACCAAAGGTACAGACCCCTCTGTTACCAAAGGTACAGACCCCACTCTTACCAAAGGTACAGACCCCTCTGTTATCAAAGGTACAGACCCCACTCTTACCAAAGGTACAGACCCCACTCTTACCAAAGGTACAGACCCCACTCTTACCAAAGGTACAGACCCCACTCTTACCAAAGGTACAGACCCCACTCTTACCAAAGGTACAGACCCCACTCTTACCAAAGGTACAGACCCCACTCTTACCAAAGGTACAGACCCCTCTGTTACCAAAGGTACAGACCCCTCTGTTACCAAAGGTACAGACCCCTCTGTTACCAAAGGTACAGACCCCTCTGTTACCAAAGGTACAGACCCCTCTCTTACCAAAGGTACAGACCCCTCTGTTACCAAAGGTACAGACCCCACTCTTACCAAAGGTACAGACCCCTCTCTTACCAAAGGTACAGACCCCTCTCTTACCAAAGGTACAGACCCCTCTGTTATCAAAGGTACAGACCCCACTCTTACCAAAGGTACAGACCCCTCTCTTACCAAAGGTACAGACCCCACTCTTACCAAAGGTACAGACCCCTCTCTTACCAAAGGTACAGACCCCTCTCTTACCAAAGGTACAGACCCCTCTCTTACCAAAGGTACAGACCCCTCTCTTACCAAAGGTACAGACCCCTCTGTTACCAAAGGTACAGACCCCTCTGTTATCAAAGGTTTCCTGTTTTTCTAATTCTTTTGTTTGAGCAGCTCCAAGAGCGAAGTCCTCACAAGAACCAGAACATGGAGGCCTCCAATGGCTCCACATTGTTCAAAGAGGACTGTGCGACGAAGGAGGAGGAGCCCGAGGAGGACCCCGAGGAGCCCGAGGAGAAGAAGAACAGCCTGGTGCCAGTGGAGGGCCTCCTCCTGCAGGAGACCGCTCTGTGAGGCCTCCTCCTGGGCCTCCTCCTGCAGGAGACCGCTCTGTGAGGCCTCCTCCTGGGCCTCCTCCTGCAGGAGACCGCTCTGTGAGGCCTCCTCCTGGGCCTCCTCCTGCAGGAGACCGCTCTGTGAGGCCTCCTCCTGGGCCTCCTCCTGCAGGAGACCGCTCTGTGAGGCCTCCTCCTGGGCCTCCTCCTGCAGGAGACCACTCTGTGAGGCCTCCTCCTGCAGGAGAACCAGACCAGTAGGAGGAGAGAGTATGTTTCTGTGATATTAACAGTAGGTGTTAGGGTCGAGGTCCTTTGTGTCTTTTCCAAAGTGTTTGTTTTTGGCCTAAAGAGAAAGTTCTGGTTCTGAAGGATGTGATGTTGTTCACCGCACTGTGCCGATTGTTTCCTGTTTTTGGAATCAAAGAATTCTTGTGAACCGATGTTGTGCTGCATGTCTGGGACAAACGTCTTCATGGTTCTGTTTTTGTCCCATCGTCTTCTGTTCTGTCCCAAATACCTCAGACTTTCCAAAGCACAAAGAATATGGATCATATTCTTTTGCCTTTTACAAAGAGCCCTGTATATTTTTATACAATCAGCTGTAATATTATACGTTCCATGTTGAAATATAATTTTATATGCAAGAGCCATGAGCCCAGAGTGACTCTGAGGCAGACATGGGATGTGATCCCATGTTCTGTTCGTCACGGAGCCTTCATTTGTTCTGACCTGAAATTACTTGAAGTGTGTGCCTTAAACCTGCACTAGACCTAACCCAAGCGGGCTGTGACCCTATGATGTCATTGTTTAGTTCTACAGCACTTACTACAACAACGCCAGCTTTCCAAAGTGCTTCACCTGCACCAAAGAGAATCGAACTGAATCACATTCAAACAAACAACAACAAACAAACAAACAAACAAACAACAATAAAAGGCACACGTGTGTCTTTAGACGAGAGCGTTTTTAAATCTAATAAAGATGAACTAATCCAGAGTTTGGGAGCAGCAAAGGATCATGATGATGATGAGGATGATGAAGATGATGATGAAGATGATGATGAGGATGATGATGAGGATGATGATGAAGACGCACAGGGACAGACCACTTTAAGCCTTGACTCAGTGATCCTTTGATGCCAACTGCACTTGTTCAGACAAACTATCAGCTCAATATATATAATTTATTATTAATGATACATATTTAAGAGTCACACTTAGTAATTTCCAGCACGTTCATATTGTTTTGAACAATACTTTTGTTCAAACAATAAGTGCTGTATTTATTTCTCTCATTGCCAAGAATTCCCTTGAAGTGCATTCCAAAAATATACATTTATGTATGTTTTGTTAAATGTTGTCTTTAAAGCAGTAGAAGGTCTGGATCAGATGGAGGTCGATGCTGTCGCACACACACAGACACACACACACACACACAGACACACACGCACACACAAACAGACACACACGCACACACAGAAACAGACACACACACAAACAGACACACACGCACACACACTCTCTCACGCACACACACACACACTCTCACGCACAAACAGACACACACACGCACACACAGAAACAGACACACACACAAACAGACACACACGCACACACAGAAACAGACACACACACAAATAGACACACACACGCACACATAGAAACACACACGCACACACACTCTCTCACGCACACACACACACACTCTCACGCACACACAGACACACACACACGCACACACACACACGCACAGTCTTATAAGATGTTTTGTTTAATTACTTTAATAATTGTTATTTAAAAAATCTAGGTGAAATACTGCACTGTAAAATAATGCAAACACTGAACATCTGTCGTTTCTGTCCAACCGTTTTGGAATAAAATAAAATACTTTTCATTTGTGTTTTTTTGTGAGAGTTTGAGCAAATATTTTTCTGTCTGAAACTAAACTTGAACTGATACAAAGAAATCTTTGAGCAAATGGTTTTAAAAGTTTCTGTATGTACTTCTGAAAACCATAAATGTATTTTGGGTAAAAACAAGTTTTTACGTCTTTCCATACTTTTTTTATTTAAATTCACAATCTATAATTATTTTATATATATATAAAATAATAATAAATATATTATTTTATATATATAAAATAATTATTTTATATATATAAAATAATTATACATTTTATGGTTCAGAGAAGCCATGGTGCTGAATAGCCGCCACAGCGCCCCCCTCTGGGCATCTGCAGCGGTGAACAGTGAATTGTGTGTTTTATTTTCTCAAGTATGTTCAACTAAAACAAAGACTGTTTATACCGAGGTCATAACACGTTTGGCTGAGGCGGTCCTCAGGGGGAGGTCCTCAGGAGGCGGTCCTCAGCAGGTCCACTGGAGGAGGTCCTCTGGAGGAGGTCCTCTGGAGGCGGTCCTCAGCAGGTCCACTGGAGGAGGTCCTCTGGAGGAGGTCCTCAGGAGGCGGTCCTCTGGAGGAGGTCCTCAGCAGGTCCTCAGGAGGCGGTCCTCAGCAGGTCCTCTGGAGGAGGTCCTCTGGAGGCGGTCCTCAGGAGGCGGTCCTCTGGAGGAGGTCCTCAGGAGGAGGTCCTCAGCAGGTCCTCTGGAGGAGGTCCTCTGGAGGCGGTGATCCGCAGCAGAATGCAGGGAGTGGGAGGAGGTCCATAAATCGGGCTGTGTTCTCCGTAATGAGCACAGATAGTGAAAGTATGTAGAATACTCTTCATCAAACAGGAGGCAGACCATAAACCTCTTCATCATCGTCGCTGTTCCACCTTTGCTTTGAACAGACAGATCTTCAGGTTTAGTATCATCTGTTTCTATGGATCTATACTCTCACATGTTAAGGTCAGAGGTCATGGTTTGGTCCAACTTTAGAACAAGTGAATCCAAGTGAACTACAAACCCATTCAGGACATTTATGATGAGGTCGTACTGACCCGTTTCCACCAGTCCTGTCCTACTCTACCCTACTCTACTCTACCTTACCCTACCCTACTCTACTCTACTCTACTCTACTCTACTCTACTCTACCATACTCTACTCTACCCTACTCTTCTCTACATTACACTACTCTACCCTACCCTTCTCTACCCTACTCTACCCTACCCTACCCTACTCTACTCAACCCTACTCAACTCTACCCTACCCTACTCTACCCTACCCTACTCTACTCTACCCTACTCTACTCTACCCTTCTCTACATTACTCTACCCTACCCTACCCTACTCTACTCTACCCTATCCTACTCTACCCTACCCTACTCTACTCTACCCTACTCTACTCTACCCTTCTCTACATTACTCTACCCTACCCTACCCTACTCTACTCTACCCTATCCTACTCTACTTTACTCAACCCTACTCTACTCTACCATACTCTACCCTACTCTGCTCTACTCTACTCTACTCTACTTTACCCTACTCTACTCTACCCTATCCTACTCTACTTTACTCAACCCTACTCTACTCTACCATACTCTACCCTACTCTGCTCTACTCTACTCTACTTTACCCTACTCTACTCTACCCTACCCTACTCTACTCTACCCTACTCTACTCTACTCTACCCTACTCTACTTTACTCAACCCTACTCTACTCTACCATACTCTACTCTGCTCTACTCTACTCTACTCTACTTTACCCTACTCTACTTTTCCCTACTCTACTCTACTTTACCCTACTCTACTCTACTCTACTCTACTTTTCCCTACTCTACCCTACTCTACTTTACCCTACTCTACCCTACTCTACTCTACCCTACTCTACCCTACTCTACTCTACCCTACTCTACTTTACCCTATTCTACCCTACTCTACTTTTCCCTACTCTACCCTACTCTACTTTACCCTACTCTACTCTACCCTACTCTACTTTACCCTACTCTACTCTACTTTACCCTACTCTACCCTACTCTACTTTTCCCTACTCTACTTTTCCCTACTCTACCCTACTCTACTCTACTTTACCCTACCCTACTCTACTCTACTCTACCCTACTCTACTTTACCCTACTCTACTTTACCCTACTCTCCTTTACCCTACTCTACCCTACTCTACTCTACTTTACCCTACTCTACTTTACCCTACTCTCCTTTACCCTACTCTACCCTACTCTACTCTACCCTACTCTACTTTACCTTACTCTACCCTACTCTACTTTTCCCTACTCTACTTTACCCTACTCTACCCTACTCTACTCTACCCTACTCTACTCTACCCTACTCTACTTTACCCTACTCTACTCTACTTTACCCTACTCTACCCTACTCTACTTTACCCTACTCTACTCTACCCTACTCTACTCTACTTTACCCTACTCTACTCTACTCTACTCTACTTTTCCCTACTCTACCCTACTCTACTTTACCCTACTCTACCCTACTCTACTCTACCCTACTCTACCCTACTCTACTCTACCCTACTCTACTCTACCCTACTCTACTTTACCCTACTCTACCCTACTCTACTTTTCCCTACTCTACCCTACTCTACTTTACCCTACTCTACCCTACTCTACTCTACCCTACTCTACTTTACCCTACTCTACTCTACCCTACTCTACTCTACTCTACCCTACTCTACTTTTCGCTACTCTACTTTTCCCTACTCTACCCTACTCTACTCTACTTTACCCTACCCTACTCTACTCTACTCTACCCTACTCTACTCTACCCTACTCTACTTTACCCTACTCTACCCTACTCTACTTTTCCCTACTCTACCCTACTCTACTTTACCCTACTCTACCCTACTCTACTCTACTTCACCCTACTCTACTCTACCCTACTCTACTTTACCCTACTCTACTCTACTTTACCCTACTCTACTTTACCCTACTCTACTCTACCCTACCCTACTCTACTCTACTTTACCCTACTCTACCCTACTCTACTCTACCCTACTCTACTTTACCCTACTCTACTTTACCCTACTCTACTTTACCCTACTCTCCTTTACCCTACTCTCCTTTACCCTACTCTACTCTACTCTACTCTACTTTACCCTACTCTACTCTACCCTACTCTACTCTACCCTACTCTACTCTACTTTACCCTACTCTACTTTACCCTACTCTCCTTTACCCTACTCTACCCTACCTCTACTCTACTCTACTTTACCCTACTCTACCCTACCCTACCCTACTCTACCCTACCCTACTCTACTCTACCCTCCCCTACTCTACCCTACTCTACTCTACCCTACTCTACTCTACCCTACCCTACCCTACTCTACTCTACCCTACACTACTCTACCCTACCCTACTCTACTCTACCCTACCCTACTCTACCCTACTCTACTCTACCCTACTCTACCCTACCCTACTCTACCCTACCCTACTCTACTCTACCCTACCCTACTCTACCCTACTCTACTCTACCCTACCCTACCCTACTCTACCCTACTCTACTCTACCCTACCCTACTCTACCCTACCCTACTCTACTCTACCCTACCCTACTCTACCCTACTCTACTCTACCCTACCCTACTCTACTCTACCCTACCCTACTCTACTCTACCCTACCCTACTCTACTCTACCCTACACATATGGCGCTAATGTTTCTATTTTACCAATTTGATAATTTCTTAAAAGTTCACTTTTCTTTGTCCAACCTCTTTTTCCAACTGTTTATTTCTGTTTCTATTGTGTCTTGTTTATTGTCTATAGTTTTATTTTGCATACAGTACATTTGAAATAGAATTCCTACTACTACTAAAGCCATAATAATAATAATGTATAAAATTACAGAAATATTATTAGATTCACTGCTATTGCTCCTGTCCTTTTAAAGTGAGTTTTATAGTAACTATTCTGAAGTGAAGAGTCAGAGCTTGGCACAGGACACAGCCTCAGATGGGATTTATTGGAGCAGCCTTGGACTTGGACTGTTCTGGAAGAGAGAGACCAACTCACTGCCAGCGCGGAACTATGTCTGTGCGTATAAATTAAATCGTTGTCTTTAGGAGTCATAAAAAGTCCAATTGTTCTGTAGAGCAGTGGTCTTCATTAACTGCACCACAAAAAGTTTGTAAAGTTGACTTTTTATTTCACTCATAAAAATGCGTTCTTCACAAATAAATATTTACAAATGTTTCCATCAGAATAAGGGCGCTAAATAGTTTCACCGCGTTCTTGGATGAAGTGATTTGCAGCCTGCGGAGGAGGCCCCGCTGAAAACCAACTGCCTACACTTAGAAAGAGAAGAGTCGGATAGAGTAGGGCCAAGCCGAGCCAAACAGGGCCAAACTAGGCCAAGCAGGGCCAAGCCGAGCGAGAGTCTATAAAAACAACATAAACAGTTTTATCTGACTTTATCCCTCGCTCTGTGTGGCTGTAGTCCTCTCTCTGTGTGACTGTAGTCCTCTCTGTGTGACTGTAGTCCTCTCTGTGTGACTGTAGTCTTCTCTCTGTGTGGCTGTAGTCCTCTCTGTGTGACTGTAGTCCTTTCTCTGTGTGGCTGTAGTCCTCTCTGTGTGGCTGTAGTCCTCTCTGTGTGACTGTAGTCCTCTCTGTGTGACTGTAGTCCTCTCTCTGTGTGGCTGTAGTCCTCTCTGTGTGACTGTAGTCCTCTCTGTGTGGCTGTAGTCCTCTCTCTGTGTGGCTGTAGTCCTCTCTGTGTGACTGTAGTCCTCTCTGTGTGGCTGTAGTCCTCTCTGTGTGGCTGTAGTCCTCTCTGCGTGACTGTAGTCCTCGCTCTGTGTGGCTGTAGTCCTCTCTCTGTGTGACTGTAGTCCTCTCTCTGTGTGACTGTAGTCCTCTCTGTGTGACTGTAGTCCTCTCTGTGTGACTGTAGTCCTCTCTGTGTGGCTGTAGTCCTCTCTGTGTGGCTGTAGTCCTCTCTGTGTGTGGCTGTAGTCCTCTCTGTGTGACTGTAGTCCTCTCTCTGTGTGGCTGTAGTCCTCTCTGTGTGACTGTAGTCCTCTCTGTGTGGCTGTAGTCCTCTCTGTGTGACTGTAGTCCTCTCTGTGTGGCTGTAGTCCTCTCTGTGTGTGGCTGTAGTCCTCTCTGTGTGACTGTAGTCCTCTCTGTGTGGCTGTAGTCCTCTCTGTGTGACTGTAGTCCTCTCTGTGTGGCTGTAGTCCTCTCTCTGTGTGACTGTAGTCCTCTCTGTGTGACTGTAGTCCTCTCTGTGTGACTGTAGTCCTCTCTGTGTGGCTGTAGTCCTCTCTGTGTGACTGTAGTCCTCTCTGTGTGACTGTAGTCCTCTCGGTGTGACTGTAGTCCTCTCTGTGTGACTGTAGTCCTCTCTGTGTGGCTGTAGTCCTCTCTGTGTGTGGCTGTAGTCCTCTCTGTGTGACTGTAGTCCTCTCTGTGTGACTGTAGTCCTCTCGGTGTGACTGTAGTCCTCTCTGTGTGGCTGTAGTCCTCTCTGTGTGTGGCTGTAGTCCTCTCTGTGTGGCTGTAGTCCTCTCTGTGTGACTGTAGTCCTCTCTGTGTGTGGCTGTAGTCCTCTCTGTGTGGCTGTAGTCCTCTCTGTGTGGCTGTAGTCCTCTCTGTGTGACTGTAGTCCTCTCTGTGTGACTGTAGTCCTCTCTGTGTGGCTGTAGTCCTCTCTCTGTGTGGCTGTAGTCCTCTCTGTGTGGCTGTAGTTGGAGGCTTCAGTCTGTGTCTGATCCAGGGGCCCCCCCTGTGGCCCCCCCTGGGTCCTTCTGCAGTCGGGCCCCCACACTGCCACAGTAGAGCAGGGAGCGCATGGGCCACTTCTGTCAGAGAGAAACACACGACACTCATGAAGCTAAAGCTGAGGTTCCTAACTTTGAAACATATTTATAATGTAAGTGGTTCTAAACAGATGGTTCTCCACCAGAGTAAGTGTCAGTTTTATTAAAAGTGTCTTTTTCTTCAAGAATTTGGTTTATTTTAATCTAGGAGTGTAATGGTTCTGCACAGCAGCGGTTCTGACCTTCACCGGGTGCAGGTGGCCCCCGTGGCGTGAGGACAGGTGGAGTTCGGTTCTAGTCCCCTCTCGGTCCAGAGTCTCGGACAAAGCAGAGATGTAGTTTGTGGCCAAAAGAAGAACGTCGAGTTTAGAGAGTTTAGTGTCCGGGGGCACAGCGGGCAGAGCGGCCTGGACACACACACACAGACAGACACACACACACAGAGACAGACACACAAACAGACACACACACACAGAGACAGACACACACACACAGACAGACACACAGACAGACACACACACACAGAGACAGACACACACACACAGACAGACACACAGACACAGAGACAGACACACAGACAGATACACACACACAGAGACAGACACACAGACACAGACAGACACACAGACAGACACACACACACAGAGACAGACACACAGACAGACACACACACACAGAGACAGACACACGCACACAGACACACGCACACAGACAGACACACACACGTAATTTACGAGAAATTATGATGTTCTAATCCATGCCTTTTATCTATATAACTTTTAGTAAGTAAGTAATCTTTATTTATATACCGCCTTTTCACAGCAGATCTGAGTCTCAAAGCGGTTTACAATTGTTTATTTTTGAGCATTTCACTCCACACAGAGATGGGAGGGGCCGGTACAGGAGGCACATGCCAGAACTATTGTACATATTTTTAGTGGCAGGGAAAACCGGAGTACCCGGAGGAAACCTACGCCGACACAGGGAGAACATGCAAACTCCACTCAGAAAGGCCCTGGTCCGACCGGGATTCGAACCCAGGACCTTCTTGCTGAGAGACGAGAGTGCTATCCACTCAGTGCTACCGTGCCGCCTTTTATACTGATTTTCACCTTGAGCACTTTCCTAGTTAGTGATTTGTACACACACACATACATACTGTATGTATGTGTGTACAGTGTGTATGTACGTACACACATACAGTGTGTGTGTGTGTGTGTGACTGGACCCACCTGCAGCCTGTGAAAGGCCTGACGCAGGTTCCTAACTCTGCTTCTTTCACGAGCTGCATTTTCAGGAGAGTGTTGACTTCTCTGGACCCGAGGCAGAGGCACTGAGCCGAGAGGAGCCTTTATACACACACACAGACACACAGACACACACACACACACACACAGACACACACACACAGACACATACACACAGACACACACACACAGACACACACACACACACACACACAGAAGTTTATTTGTTTGGCACAGTTCATACACAAAGACCTACACTGTAGAGTAATATTCTCACACTAACATCATGTGTTTAGGCTTTTGTTATTTGAATATTCTTATAAATATATATATTCAAACAACTTGAATTAGAGGCAGAAAACAAAACAACTTTCAAATCACAGAATGTGTCATAAATCTTTCTAGTTCCTTTCAGTCAAAACTATCATCACTTTTCACACGTGTCACATCCGCTCTCAGCCAATCAGCTGTCAGCCAATCAGCTGTCAGCCAATCAGCTCTCAGCCAATCAGCTCTCAGCCAATCAGCTCTCAGCCAATCAGCACTCAGCCAATCAACTCTCAGCCAATCAGCTCTCAGCCAATCAGCTCTCAGCCAATCAGCTCTCAGCCAATCAGCTCTCAGCCAATCCGCTCTCAGCCAATCAGCTCTCAGCCAATCAGGTCTCAGCTAATCAGCTCTCAGCCAATCCGCTCTCAGCCAATCAGCTCTCAGCCAATCAGGTCTCAGCTAATCAGCTCTCAGCCAATCCGCTCTCAGCCAATCAGCTCTCAGCCAATCAGCTCTCAGCCAATCAGCTCTCAGCCAATCAGCTCTCAGCCCAAAGAGGCCAATAGTGACTCACAGGGATCTGCAAAGAGTTTTTTTTGTCTCTTTGGAGCATTTCTCAGACTTAAAGTTTCATACAGATCTCTGCTGTTTTAAAACATGATCATTTGCTTCTGTCCTGTCAGAATGAAACTTATGACTTCTGAAAAGTCATTTACTATAAAAGCAATAGTCCTCATGTCATGGCTTCAGTATCACAAACAAAACTGTTAAACTGGTTCAAACTCATGTCATACATTCATTTATCATTTTTTCAAATCAAATCTCTCATAAAGTGTTTCTCAGGTGAGTTTCAGCTTCACTCTCCTCATGAGGAGAAGGAGACACTTCCTTCCATGGAAGAAACTGATGTAGATGAAAATATGTGACAGACAGGAAGGCGTGGCAGTCCAGGAATAATGTCTGCACAGTTTACAGTAATATCTGTTTTGTTTACTTTTGTCACAGTTCTACAATAATCATATTTCTCATGTTTGTTCTAAATATGTGGCTGTTTTTTATTTTTGCACAATGCTGTAGAAGGGTCAGGGTTAGTAAAAAGTATATGCAGTAAATGATATGAATACATATATACTACATACACATACATACCTATACTACACACACACATATACACACACATACTACACCTACATACTACACACACACATATACACACACTTACTACTAGGGGTGGGAACCTAATGGTACCTCACGATACGATACGATACACGATACAAAGCTCACGATAACGGTAATATCACGATAACGATTTTATCACGATAACGATTTTATCACGATAACGATTTTATCACGATATGACGATTATTGATATATTGGTCAGAAATATACAATATGCCAATATATGGCATAAATAAAAGAAAAAATACTCTTTATTTCATGATAAATAGAATGGAGATGCGTAATGTAGCCATATATTAAGTATTGATACCAATTTAAAAAAAAATAATAGTAAAAAACACCAAAAAAAAAACATTTTTTTTTTTTTCAAAATCGATATCGATACTTGGCAAATGCATATCGATAATCGAATCGCAGGAGAAAGTATCGCGATATATCGAAAAATCGATATATCGTCACACCCCTACTTACTACACATACATACTACACACACACACATATACACACACATACATATACACACACATATACACACACACATACACATACATACTACATACACACACACACACACATACCTATACTACATACAGTACATACACACACACACACACACACACATATACTACACACACACACACATATCAACACACATATACACACACACACACACATATACTACACACACACACATATACCTATACTACATACACATACACACACACACACATACCTATACTACATATACACACATACTACACACACTTACTACACACACACACACACACATACCTACATACTGTACATACAAACAGACAGATAGTTGTAATCGTAATTTGAAAGTGCTGTTTTTATTGTGTCCTAATGTTTTAATCATCTCACTTATATATTTTAGACTTTTGAACACTTAAATCTGGCAGACGTTTGTCTCTGTGCAGCTCTGAGGAAACCTGTTTTATAAAAAGTGGATATTATTGTGTCTAAGGCAGAGGCACGTTACATTTGTAGATCTATAACACATCACAACAGACAGATACACATGTGGGACCCAGAGAGTGGATGGGCAGGACAAACGGTGTGTGTGTGTGTGTGTGTGTGTATCTGTAACTATACATTTGCTAAATTTGAATAATATTGTATTGTTGATCCTGTCAGTCCTCCTTAAAGGACCTCCTTGAACAAGAGCGGATCCCATCAGGACAGTCCTATGAATAACGTGATGGAAGCTGATAATCAGAGAGTTTACCCTGGTCTTGGAGCGCTGGGCCTGACTGCTCCTGCTGTTACTGCTGCTGTTACTGCTGTTGTTACTCCTGCTGTTACTGCTGTTACTGCTGCTGCTGCTGCTGCTGCTGCTGTCCGCTCTCGGTGGATCCATGCCGGGGCGACAGCCGAGCCTCTGCTGCACTGACATCAGGGCTTCCAGAGGATTCATCTTCGGCGCTGGCTCCGGATCTCTGTGGCCTTGAACCTGGAGCAGTCTGGAGAGAGCATGTTTGAGAAACCAGAGAAGAGGAGTCGGAGCTGGCTTTGCTGAAAGAACAAACTTACTTTACTTTGATGAAGTGGATGTTGGTGTGAAGCAGAGCAGAGCACCTGACGGTCTGAGTCTGAGTCCATCTGTGTGTCAGAGGACGTTACCGTATCGGGTGAGGTAATGAGGGGTCCTTATCTGTCTGTGCCGCGTCCCCATCCTCCCTGCGGCTGCTCGGCTGCCAAGAGGAGCAGAGAGGGGGGGTCCCAGGGCACGAGGGGGGGGTCCAGGGCACGGGGGGGCTTGGGAAACATGTAGTCCAGCAAACATCTGGACCAAGTGGGAACATGTGGGGCAATGCGACACGGACGCACAAAATAGATGGAAATGTCCTTGGGATGAGATAATCCCAGTGTCCGAGGAGAGAGGAGTGAGACTGGACCTGGTCTTCTCTGTGGGGGGGGTCTTTTCTGTGGGGGGGGGTGACCCGATAAATCAGGCACAACACTAACATTTACATGCTCGGTGTCATGTGTTGAATTTGACACAGACCAAGTTTTATTTTTTCCGTCAGATTAAAACTTTCAGAGACATTCCCACGGATTGGTCTGCTTCACTTTAACTGGACTCGTTCAAATCCGTTTCAAAACTTAAAGGAGACGTTTTACACATTCTTTTTGGCCATAAATAATAATGATACGATTCACTTTGTAAATTCAGTTTCATTTGTGCAGATGTGAAAACCCTGAAGCTCAAACAGGAAGGAACACAAACCATTACATCTTCTCAATCATTTTATTAACAGTAGATTTAAAAGTATAGACCACATGAAGAATATCTGCTGTATATTTCAGAAACTAAAGTGGGTCTGAAACAAACTCCCCACATGGTACGCACCATCAACATTTGTCTTTGTTCAGGACAGATTATGTTTGTGTTTTTGGACACACAAACACTCACTTTACACAGTGAGGGTGATCTACAACTTCAGCCGCAGCCGTTTTAGAGGTCTCCCATCACAGCACTAACCAGACCCTGTCCTGCTTATCCTCTGTCACGTCAGGTGGTGTTTGATGATAATAAACCGCTCTCAAAACAAGAATCGTTTCTGGAGAAAACGTGGAAATGAGAGAAAAGACAGAGTCCTGTTTATGATGGACGATGCTAAGTGCTAACTGCTAACTGCATGAAGCCCAACAGAGAAGTGCTCATGGACAAAGTTTCCAACTGACTCTGGCTCCTATTCACTTACATTGAAAATAAATTGTTCCCAGTGTTTCAGACCTGGTTTATCCAAAAGTCTGAGATGATCTGATCCAAAAACAATTGTATGTATAAATGTATTTATAAGTATTTACCATAGTATTAAAAATATATTTGTGTGAAGGAAAAACACATGATCATCCAGACTGTTTTACATTAAACAGTTTCTGTTTGTCCCGTGCTTCAGTGAGACTGTGATGATCCAGCTGTGCCACTCATTTGGGGGGGGGGGTCTGTGGCTCACTGCTGTGGGGGGGGGGGTGGTCTGTGGCAACACAATAATTCTGACTCCATGATGTTCAAACAGTGATTGTTTATTAGTTTACTCCAGACTGTATACAGATGGACAATGCTAACCCCCTAGCTCAATGTAGCCCAATAGGGAAGTGCTCATGGATGAAGTTCTGCTCCAACTCGCTCTGGCTCTTATATCAAAGAGTAAACTCCTCCCCCTCAGTAAACGTCTGTGTCGCTCTCACCATTTTGACCTTTACAGATCCGTGCTTTAGCGTTCTCTGTGATCCCGAAGTTTACTTTTGGATATTGTCTCGGTGAATCCAAACATGAGCCCTAACAACCGACCAATCAGGAGCCTTCTGTTGTTCGGCTTTAGCGACCAAGTAGCGTGGATAGCGAGTGGGGTCGCTGCTCCTGATTGGTGCTTGGAAACTGCTACTAATTAACCCTCTAGGCGCCACGGTTAACAACATATGGCGCACTACGGTGTCCTTAGCCCTTGGTCAGTCCCAGTATAAAGTCTATGGTTGGTCTGAAACCGGCCCAGAGTCCCTCCCTCCCCCTCCCCCTCCCCCTTCCTCCCCCTCCCCCTCCCTCCCCCTCCCTCCACTCTAACTGTCCCGGGCCTGGTCCCTCTCCACCTTCCTGACAAACTGGATGATGTCGTCTGCCATCAGTTGAGGCTCTTCCATTGCAGCAAAGTGCCCCCCCCTGGGCATGGGCGTGTAGCTCAGGAGCCGCTGGTACTTCTGCTTCACCCACGTCTCCGGAGTGTGCATGAGCTCGTTGGGGAAACAGGCAAAACCAGTGGGAACCAGCACCGGGATCCTGAGGACACACATGAGACTCAATGATCCAGACTCTCACCCTGAGCACTTCACCTCCTGCTCTGACTCTAGTCTAAAAGATCAACTAAACACCTGTGCTCAGCCTGACTCCGCCCACATGAACAGCCTGACTCCGCCCACATGAACAGTCTGACTCCGCCCACATGAAAGCCTGACTCCGCCCACATGAACAGTCTGACTCCGCCCACATGAACAGTCTGACTCCGCCCACATAAAAGCCTTACTCCGCCCACATGAACAGCCTGACTCCGCCCACATGAAAGCCTTACTCCGCCCACATTAACATTTGGGCGTGGCCTGAGGACCAGGGGACAGGGGGCTTACAGATGGGCGTTTTTGCAGCAGTAGTGGCTGTCAACTGATGTATTTTAATTTTAAACCACTAGATGTCGCCAGAAGACTCCAACTTGCTACAGGTGTGTGTGAGACTTGGCTGCTTTTACACCACAGGCTCAGAGTGATGTCACACTGCACTTCAGAGCCAATGAGAGGCCAGGATCACATTCAAATGTAGCGAGGGCGCCACAGACGGTTTTAGGCTCAAAAGTGAGACTTGATCTAATTTGCTCTAAAATGACAACAAAATGACCAGGACATGAGCAAGAAACATATTTATGTGGTTTAAGAGTTAAACAAGTGGATTTTGGTTTAGTTTCCTTTCATTTGGAGAATAACAAACTTTGACCAATGGGGACACGCCTCAGTTCTCTATGAAAATGAATAAAACAAATTAGCAACATTCTCTCCAAATATTAATACATTGTTTTATCCATAAATGATTGAGTGGGTAATATAATAATATAATATATTATATAGTAACCTTATGTTGGTGCAAACAGGCACCTGTATCTATATACAGACGTACAGAAGGAGGGAGTGTCGCGCTCACATGTTCCTTCATATAACATAAAACATATATGTGTATATATTACCTGGCATGGGGCTTGTTCAGGCCCTGGTTAAAGTTCTCTTTGTAGAACCTCATGGAGGAGGTGATGCAGCCGCTGGTCCAGTAGATCATGACGTTAGTGAGAAGGTCGTCCAGCAAGAACTTTCTGCTCCACAAACAAAAATAACACGTTCATTTTCTCCACAAAATATAATGACATACAATGTCCTCAGCAGGAGTGAGAGGGTGTAGGGTCAGAGTGTCTGAGTTTACACAAGTCTGAAGTAAATATATTGTGTTTACTCGATGGATTGAAAAGGTTTTCACTGTGGTCTTTACTCTGTATTAGTAACTAATTAACTAATTAACTATTAAACTATTAAACTGTTAAACTGTTAAAGGAATAGTTCACCGTTTTTACATACTGACATATGTTCTTACCTTACCTTAGACTAGTTAATACGTACCTGTCTGGTCTTAGTCCGTGCGCTCTGTCATGCAAACGGAGCAAAAACGGGAGCACAAACGCAGCCTCCTCTGGTCACTGTGTAGGACCAAAAGGTAGCTCCCGCTAGAAGCTACCAAACTCTTCCAAGTGTTCCCTATTAAATGTATATAGTTACGTGACGTGTTACACTGCAAAGTATAGTAACACAGAAATGTAACTGTCGATTTTCTCAGCGGATAAAACGGGTACTATATTGTGAGGCGTAGTAATCTGAGGAGCGCTACGTCCGCGCACTAACTTCTCTCCGGAGACTTCTCTCTCGCTGCTACTGTGTGTACTACAAGTCACGCTGCTTCTATTGACGGAAGTGAGCGAGAGAGAAGTCTCCGGAGAGAAGTTAGTGCGCGGACGTAGCGCTCACTACGCCTCACAATATAGTACCCGTTTTATCCGCTGAGAAAATCGACAGTTACATTTCTGTGTTACTATACTTTGCAGTGTAACACGTCACGTAACTATATACATTTAATAGGGAACACTTGGAAGAGTTTGGTAGCTTCTAGCGGGAGCTACCTTTTGGTCCTACACAGTATACAGAGGAGGCTCCGTTTTTGCTCCGTTTGCATGACAGAGCGCACGGACTAAGACCAGACAGGTACGTATTAACTAGTCTAAGGTAAGGTAAGAACATATGTCAGTATGTACAAACGGTGAACTATTCCTTTAAGAACAGATGGAGAGTCCAGACGTCACCTGGTGAGACCTCCGTCCTGCAGGTTTCTGAACTCATTGTCTGTCCACGTAGAGAACTTCTCCAGGATGTAGGCGGCCAGGCCCACGGGGGAGTCACTGAGCGCCCGGCCTGGAAACACCACACACTGAGAGTTTGGAGAGAAAACCTAAATCTGAGCCATAACAATGGCATTTAAGACGTCATAAAATACATCCAATCTCATGTTTGGATAGGAGTAAGACTAGGAGATTTTCAGAAAGCATTTCAGAGACTATTGTAAAGTATTTTGTTTTCATTGTATTTGATTCTGAGGACTCTTCGTAAACAAGACGATACTGGACTTTCTTCATAATAAAATAAATGTTACATAATGCATCAGATTTATGTAAAAGTCACTCAAAGTCTCTTCACTTCATTATTCTCTCTCTCCAAACACAGGTGATAAACTACTGTAGCCACAGCTGCCCTGGGGCAGACTGACAGAAGCCCCTCCCACCACCACCAACCATTCACACACACACCAGACTCATTCTAATGTGGGGGAAGTGTCTTGCCTAAGGACACAACCACAGTTTGGCACTTTACAGCCACATTATTATCATTATTATCATCATTATTATCATTATTATCATCATTATTATCATTATTATCATCATTAATTATTATCATTATTATCATTATTATTATCATTATTATCATTATTATCATCATTATCATCATTATTATCATTATTATCATTATTATCATTATTATTATCATTATTACCATCATTATTATCATTATTATCATCATTATTATCATTATTATCATCATTATTATCATTATTATCATCATTATTATCATTATTATCATTATTATTATCATTATTATCATTATTATCATTATTATTATCATTATTATCATTATTATCTTCATCATATCATTATTATCATTATCATTATTATCATTATTATCATTATTATCATTATTATCATCATCATATCATTATTATCATTATCATTATTATCATTATTATCATCATTATTATCATTATTATCATTATTATCATTATTATCATCATTATTATCATTATTATCATTATTATCATTATTATTATCATCATTATTATCATTATTATCATTATTATCATCATTATTATCATTATTATTATCATTATTATTATCATTATTATTATCATTATCATTATTATCATCATCATATCATTATTATCATTATTATTATCATTATTATCATCATTATTATCATTATTATTATCATTATTATCATTATTATCATTATTATCATCATTATTATCATTATTATCATTATTATCATCATTATTATCATTATTATTATCATTATTATCATTATTATCATTATTATCATCATTATTATCATTATTATCATTATTATCATTATTATCATCCTTATTATCATTATCATTATCATTGCTCTGAGCCCTTACCCACGGTGTCGGGCTTGGTGGCCTGGATGTGCATGTATCCAGATTCCAGCAGAGGTTCCATCAGTTGCTTCTGAGCCGCAGGAAACAGACGCTCCAGGTCCACGGGGCTGAACCCGAACAGTTTTGGGAAGTACTGTCCCAGGATCACGGACAGAACGACCCACAGCCCGGGCTTGGATGGAGGAGCGAAGTTCAAATGCAAACCTTTCACCGTCCTGAAACACCAGACTAGTCAGTATTTTGGATTCAGTTATAGTTTTATAGTGTATAGTGAGAATAACAATCTTTAAAACATGGTTAAACTTCTGTTATAAACCACTATAAATGCTAAAGCTAGGCTAAATGCTAAAGCTAGGCTAAATGCTAAATGCCTCACTCACTCGGGCTCATCACATACGTCACAGTAAACTCAGATCCAATTTCAAGGAGTTAGCCCCTCCCACCTGTTCATGGACTCAATGGAGCATAGTACCAAATGAAATGAGTACCATGGTGCGGTAAGACCAGGCTGCTTCTTATCAATACTCCTCCACTACTATTCAGGATTTGGAGCGGGATGTGACGCTGTTGCTCTCACCGCGGCTGCAGCTGGGCCATGTTGGTGGTGACTAACCAGCCCCAGTCTCCGCCCTGAGCGTAGAAGGGACTGGAACCCAAACGCTTCATGAGTTTGTGGAAGATGCGAGCGGCACAGACCGAGTCGAACCCTTCACAACAGTACACGCAGAAAGACACGTGTCAGCAGAGCACACGCAGAGAGACCAGAACACGTGTCAACAGAGCACACGCAGAAAGACACGTGTCAGCAGAGCACACGCAGAGAGACCAGAACACGTGTCAGCAGAGCACACGCAGAGAGACCAGAACACGTGTTAGCAGAGCACACGCAGAGAGACCAGAACACGTGTTAGCAGAGCACACGCAGAGAGACCAGAACACGTGTCAGCAGAGCACACGCAGAGAGACCAGAACACGTGTCAGCAGAGCACACGCAGAGAGACCAAAACACGTGTCAGCAGAGCACACGCAGAGAGACCAGAACACGTGTTAGCAGAGCACACGCAGAGAGACCAGAACACGTGTTAGCAGAGCACACGCAGAGAGACCAAAACACGTGTTAGCAGAGCACACGCAGAGAGACCAGAACACGTGTCAGCAGAGCACACGCAGAGAGACCAGAACACGTGTCAGCAGAGCACACGCAGAGAGACCAGAACACGTGTCAGCAGAGCACACGCAGAGAGACCAGAACACGTGTCAGCAGAGCACACGCAGAGAGACCAGAACACGTGTCAGCAGAGCACACGCAGAGAGACCAGAACACGTGTCAGCAGAGCACACGCAGAGAGACCAAAACACGTGTTAGCAGAGCACACGCAGAGAGACCAGAACACGTGTCAGCAGAGCACACGCAGAGAGACCAAAACACGTGTTAGCAGAGCACACGCAGAGAGACCAGAACACGTGTCAGCAGAGCACACGCAGAGAGACCAGAACACGTGTCAGCAGAGCACACGCAGAGAGACCAAAACACGTGTTAGCAGAGCACACGCAGAGAGACCAGAACACGTGTCAGCAGAGCACACGCAGAGAGACCAGAACACGTGTCAGCAGAGCACACGCAGAGAGACCAGAACACGTGTCAGCAGAGCACACGCAGAGAGACCAGAACACGTGTCAGCAGAGCACACGCAGAGAGACCAGAACACGTGTCAGCAGAGCACACGCAGAGAGACCAGAACACGTGTCAGCAGAGCACACGCAGAGAGACCAGAACACGTGTCAGCAGAGCACACGCAGAGAGACCAGAACACGTGTCAGCAGAGCACACGCAGAGAGACCAGAACACGTGTCAGCAGAGCACACGCAGAGAGACCAGAACACGTGTCAGCAGAGCACACGCAGAGAGACCAGAACACGTGTCAGCAGAGCACACGCAGAGAGACCAGAACACGTGTCAGCAGAGCACACGCAGAGAGACCAGAACACGTGTCAGCAGAGCACACGCAGAGAGACCAAAACACGTGTTAGCAGAGCACACGCAGAGAGACCAGAACACGTGTCAGCAGAGCACACGCAGAGAGACCAGAACACGTGTCAGCAGAGCACACGCAGAGAGACCAGAACACGTGTCAGCAGAGCACACGCAGAGAGACCAGAACACGTGTCAGCAGAGCACACGCAGAGAGACCAGAACACGTGTCAGCAGAGCACACGCAGAGAGACCAGAACACGTGTCAGCAGAGCACACGCAGAGAGACCAGAACACGTGTCAGCAGAGCACACGCAGAGAGACCAGAACACGTGTCAGCAGAGCACACGCAGAGAGACCAGAACACGTGTCAGCAGAGCACACGCAGAGAGACCAGAACACGTGTCAGCAGAGCACACGCAGAGAGACCAGAACACGTGTTAGCAGAGCACAAGGGTTTAGGATTTAATACGTTCATTTGGTATAGCACAGTTCATTGTGAGCTTAACCAGAATAAACAGATAAAACATGAATAATCACAGGTCATTAAACAGCTCTAAAGATGAACCTGGATTTAAACAGTGTCAGAGGAGAAGCCTGTCTCACATTTTCAAGAAGATTGTTCCAGATTTTTGCTGCACGAGTCTGAAACGCTGTCTCCACACTCAGAGTCCCAGCAGGAGACCAGTCCCTGTGCTCCTCAGAGTCCCAGCAGGAGACCAGTCCCTGTGCTCCTCAGAGTCCCAGCAGGAGGCCAGTCCCTGTGCTCCTCAGAGTCCCAGCAGGAGGCCAGTCCCTGTGCTCCTCAGAGTCCCAGCAGGAGGCCAGTCCCTGTGCTCCTCAGAGTCCCAGCAGGAGGCCAGTCCCTGTGCTCCTCAGAGTCCCAGCAGGAGGCCAGTCCCTGTGCTCCTCAGAGTCCCAGCAGGAGGCCAGTCCCTGTGCTCCTCAGAGTCCCAGCAGGAGGCCAGTCCCTGTGCTCCTCAGAGTTGGTCCCTATGTCTCTAACATGTCTCAGATGTACCTTTGAGGCCATGAAGAGACTTGAAACAAACAGAGCTTACAGGTACAGAGACCTTCCTGCTCTTATGGCTCCACAGTACTTCCTTCATAAAGATGGATCTAGATTTGTGTTTACTTTTCGTTGACATTATTTATCTGTATAAACGTGTGCACAGGCAGAAGAACACTCACCTGTCCGATGGGGGGCCTCAGAAAACCCAAACCCAGGAATGGAGGGACACACCACCTCGAACACAAAGTCCTGAGCCTGTGTGGGCCGGGTCAGGAGCGGGAGGAGCCCGTAGAACTCATAGAAGGATCCGGGCCAGCCGTGGACCATGAGGAGAGGCAGGACCCTGGTGCCCTCTGGGACCATCTGAGGCTTCACGTGCACGTAGTGGACATCAAGACCTGCACCAACCCGAATACAAGACAAGTCAGAACATGCTGAGAACAAAACCAAAGCTACCCTGGTCTTACCGCACCACAGTACTCATTTCATTTGTACTGAGGTCTGGATTTGCTTCATTGACTCCGTGAACAGGTGGGAGGGGCTAACTGCTTTGATTGAAACCATTGGATCTGAGTTTACTGTGACGTATGTAATGAGCCCGAGTGAGTGAGACATTAGCCTAGCTTTAGCATGTAGCCTAGCTTTAGCATGTAGCCTAGCTTTAGCCATCTCCTTTGCCGCTAACGGAGCCCGTGGGGAGTAGAGCCACAACATCTTTGCTTCAATGACATTTACTAAACATTCCTCTTGCTCCGGCTTCAGTTTCTTCATATTTGGATTGAACCAGAACAGATTATTTTACTATCGTATTCTCCATGGTCCAGAGTTTACACATGGTAAGACCAGACGTACATGTAGGAGAGGATCATGGACCAGAGTTTACACATGGTAAGACCAGACGTACATGTAGGAGAGGATCATGGACCAGAGTTTACACATGGTAAAACCAGAGTTTACACATGGTAAGACCAGAGTTTACACATGGTAAGACCAGACGTACATGTAGGAGAGGATCATGGACCAGAGTTTACACATGGTAAAACCAGAGTTTACACATGGTAAGACCAGAGTTTACACATGGTAAGACCAGAGTTTACACATGGTAAGACCAGAGTTTACACATGGTAAGACCAGAGTTTACACATGGTAATACCAGAGTTTACACATGATAAGACCAGAGTTTACACATGGTAAGACCAGAGTTTACACATGATAAGACCAGAGTTTACACATGGTAAGACCAGAGTTTACACATGATAAGACCAGAGTTTACACATGGTAAGACCAGAGTTTACACATGATAAGACCAGAGTTTACACATGGTAAGACCAGAGTTTACACATGGTAAGACCAGAGTTTACACATGGTAATACCAGAGTTTACACATGGTAAGACCAGAGTTTACACATGGTAAGACCAGAGTTTACACATGGTAAGACCAGAGTTTACACATGGTAATACCAGTGTTTACACATGGTAAGACCAGAGTTTACACATGGTAAGACCAGAGTTTACACATGGTAAGACCAGAGTTTACACATGGTAAGACCAGTGTTTACACATGGTAAGACCAGTGTTTACACATGGTAAGACCAGAGTTTACACATGGTAAGACCAGAGTTTACACATGGTAATACCAGAGTTTACACATGGTAAGACCAGAGTTTACACATGGTAAGAGCAGAGTTTACACATGGTAAGACCAGTGTTTACACATGGTAAGACCAGGGCAGGTCAAAGCAGAACAAACAAACCTTCGATGTTGGTTTTAAAGTGACAGTACTGGTTGATCTTCTCCACTTGCTTCTTCCAGTCGAAGTCCTTCCTCCAGAACGAGACGACCTTCTGCAGATGCTCAGAGTTGAAGCCGTAGTGAAAGTGACTGTTGAGGAGCGAGGCCACCGGGCGAGGGACTGAGGAGGACTGAGAGCTGAGGAGGACTGAGAGACTGAGGGGACTGAGGGGACTGGGAGGATGAGGGATGAGCGAGGACTGAGAGTCTGACGGAGCTGAGGAGGACTGAGGAGGACTGAGGGGACTGAGGAGGCTGAGGAGGACTGCAGAGATGAGGTGGGATGAGAGATGAGGGACTGAGGGACTGGGGACTGAGGGAATGAGGAGGACTGGGAGGACTGAGGGACTGAGGAGGACTGAGAGACTGAGAGTGAGGAGGATGAGGAGGACTGTGGGACTGAGAGGATGAGGGACTGAGGGAAATGGGGAGGACTGAGGATAGGAGGGGGGGACATGGAGAGGGACTGAGGAGGGACTGGGGGGATCTGAGAAAGGACTGAGAGGACTGAGGGACTGAGGAGGATGAGGGACTGAGGAGGACTGAGGGACTGAGGGGACTGAGGAGGACGACGAGGGAATGAGGGACAGAGGGAACTGAGGAGGACTGGAGGAGGACTGAGGAGGACTGAGGAGGACTAAGGGAGAGAGGGGACTGAGGAGGACTGAGGAGGACTGAGAGACTGAGGAGGCGGACTGAGGGAGGACTGAGAGACTGAGGAGGACTGAGGAGGATGAGGGACTGAGGAGGACTGAGAGACTGAGGAGGGACTGAGGAGGATGAGGAGGGACTGAGGGTATGAGGGAGGACTGAGGGACTGAGGAGGCTGAGGAGGACTGAGAGACTGAGGAGGACTGAGAAGGACTGGAGACTAGGGGACTGAGGGACTGAGGAGGTAATGAGGAGGACTGAGGGATCTGAGGAGGGCTGAGGGACTGAGGAGGACTAGGAGGAGCTGAGGGATGAGGAGGATGAGGGACTGAGGAGGACTGAGGAGGGACTGCGGGGACTGAGGGAAGAGGAGGGTCTGAGGGGACCTGAGGAGGGACTTGAGGAGGACTGAGGGACTGAGGAGGACTGAGGGACTGAGGGACTGAGGGACTGAGGAGGACTGATGGACTGGGCGGACTGAGGAGGACTGAGAGACTGTGAGACTGAGGAGGATGAGAGACTGAGGAGGACTGAGGAGGACTGAGAGACTGAGGAGGACTGAGGGACTGAGGGCCTGAGGAGGATTGAGGGGACTGAGGGAACTGAGGTGAGGGACTGAGGGAGGACTGAGGGACTGAGGAGGATGAGGGGCAACTGAGGGGACTGAGGGGGACTGAGGGGACTGAGGGGATGAGGAGGACTGTAGGACTGAGGAGGACTGAGGAGGATTGAGGGACTGAGGAGGATGAGAGACTGAGGGAGGACTGAGAGACTGAGAGATAAGGAGGACAGAGGGGATGAGGAGGACTGAGGAGGATGAGAGACTGAGAGGACTGAGGAGGACTGCGAGACTGAGGAGGACTGAGGAGGACTGAGGGAGGACTGAGGGCCTGAGGCGGACTGAGGGACTGAGGAGAACCCTAACCTTAACCATCTTACTCAGACCACCTTAACCCTAACCTTAACCATCTTACTCAGACCCACCTTAACCCTAACCTTAACCATCTTACTCAGACCACCTTAACCCTAACCTTAACCATCTTACTCAGACCACCTTAACCCTAACCTAACCACCTTAACCATTAACTTTACTCAGACCACCTTAACCCTAACCTTAACCATCTTACTCAGACCACCTTAACCATCTTACTCAGACCCACCTTAACCCTAACCTTAACCATCTTACTCAGACCACCTTAACCCTAACCTTAACAATCTTACTCAGACCACCTTAACCCTAACCTTAACCATCTTACTCAGGACCACCTTAACCCTAACCTTAACCATCTTACTCAGACCACCTTAACCCTAACCTTAACCATCTTACTCAGACCCACCTTAACCCTAACCTTAACCATCTTACTCAGACCACCTTAACCCTAACCTTAACCATCTTACTCAGACCACCTTAACCCTAACCTTAACCATCTTACTCAGACCACCTTAACCCTAACCTTAACCATCTTACTCAGACCCACCTTAACCCTAACCTTAACCATCTTACTCAGACCCACCTTAACCCTAACCTTAACCATCTTACTCAGACCACCTTAACCCTAACCTTAACCATCTTACTCAGACCACCTTAACCCTAACCTTAACCATCTTACTCAGACCACCTTAACCCTAACCTTAACCATCTTACTCAGACCACCTTAACCCTAACCTTAACCATCTTACTCAGACCACCTTAACCCTAACCTTAACCATCTTACTCAGACCACCTTAACCCTAACCTTAACCATCTTACTCAGACCACCTTAACCCTAACCTTAACCATCTTACTCAGACCCACCTTAACCCTAACCTTAACCATCTTACTCAGACCACCTTAACCCTAACCTTAACCATCTTACTCAGACCACCTTAACCCTAACCTTAACCATCTTACTCAGACCCACCTTAACCCTAACCTTAACCATCTTACTCAGACCACCTTAACCCTAACCTTAACCATCTTACTCAGACCACCTTAACCCTAACCTTAACCATCTTACTCAGACCACCTTAACCCTAACCTTAACCATCTTACTCAGACCACCTTAACCCTAACCTTAACCATCTTACTCAGACCACCTTAACCCTAACCTTAACCATCTTACTCAGACCGCCTTAATCCTAACCTTAAAGTAGTACTAGAATTTAATATGCTGCTATCCAGAAAATATAACTACAATATGTGTTTATAATATTTCGGGTGTTCATTTTGACATGTTCAGATGAATTATGTTAAAAAAACGGCTTTCAAGTGGCACTTTTTCACTTCCGCATAGAAACGCTAGGGGGGGCCAAAATGGCGGCGATGACGTAGGAGGAGGGCATCTCACAGCAACAGCAGCAGTCTGGTTGGAAACTGTAGGAGTTTTCACTGTCATCTGAACAAGGTATAAACATAATTTCATCAGTTTTGTACATAATAGTGCGCAACTCTTTTAACCTTTTAGCCTTATTTGTGAGATTCAAGCTAATTAGTGTTGGGCAAGTTAGCTAACTCTACTTGATATCATAAAACATGCTAACAAGGCTAATATTTGTTTTTACATTATGCCAGTCTCACTTTGGTTGCCTTAGATTTATTTACCACAATGTACATTGTAATATCCATAAATGTTAACACCTATTAACGGTTTAATTAGCATTTTTATCAATGATTGCATCACATGTAGTCTATGTTTTCAACTTCTGCAGCTTTTTGTTCATAAAAGTAAATTATTTATTTAATTAAAGTTATTTTGATTAGCATTTTTGAATATTACAATGTACATTGTGGTAAATAAATTCAATTTTTTAACATAATTCATCTAAACATGTCAAAATGAACACCCGAAATATTATAAACACATATTGTAGTTATATATTCTGGATAGCAGCATATTAAATTCTAGTACTACTTTAACAATCTTACTCAGACCACCTTAACCCTAACCTTAACCATCTTACTGAGATCCACCTTAACCCTAACCTTAACCATCTTACTCAGACCACCTTAACCCTAACCTTAACCATCTTACTCAGACCACCTTAACCCTAACCTTAACCATCTTACTCAGACCACCTTAACCCTAACCTTAACCATCTTACTCAGACCACCTTAACCCTAACCTTAACCATCTTACTCAGACCACCTTAACCCTAACCTTAACCATCTTACTCAGACCCACCTTAACCCTAACCTTAACCATCTTACTCAGACCACCTTAACCCTAACCTTAACCATCTTACTCAGACCACCTTAACCCTAACCTTAACCATCTTACTCAGACCACCTTAACCCTAACCTTAACCATCTTACTCAGACCACCTTAACCCTAACCTTAACCATCTTACTCAGACCACCTTAACCCTAACCTTAACCATCTTACTCAGACCACCTTAACCCTAACCTTAACCATCTTACTCAGACCGCCTTAACCCTAACCTTAACCATCTTACTCAGACCCACCTTAACCCTAACCTTAACCATCTTACTCAGACCCACCTTAACCCTAACCTTAACCATCTTACTCAGACCCACCTTAACCCTAACCTTAACCATCTTACTCAGACCACCTTAACCCTAACCTTAACCATCTTACTCAGACCACCTTAACCCTAACCTTAACCATCTTACTCAGACCCACCTTAACCCTAACCTTAACCATCTTACTCAGACCCACCTTAACCCTAACCTTAACCATCTTACTCAGACCACCTTAACTCTAACCTTAACCATCTTACTCAGACCACCTTAACCCTAACCTTAACCATCTTACTCAGACCACCTTAACCCTAACCTTAACCATCTTACTCAGACCACCTTAACTCTAACCTTAACCATCTTACTCAGACCACCTTAACCCTAACCTTAACCATCTTACTCAGACCCACCTTAACCCGAACCTTAACCATCTTACTCAGACCCACCTTAACCCTAACCTTAACCATCTTACTCAGACCACCTTAACCCTAACCTTAACCATCTTACTCAGACCACCTTAACCCTAACCTTAACCATCTTACTCAGACCACCTTAACCCTAACCTTAACCATCTTACTCAGACCACCTTAACCCTAACCTTAACCATCTTACTCAGACCACCTTAACCCGAACCTTAACCATCTTACTCAGACCCCCCTTAACCCTAACCTTAACCATCTTACTCAGACCACCTTAACCCTAACCTTAACCATCTTACTCAGACCACCTTAACCCTAACCTTAACCATCTTACTCAGACCTACCTTAACCCTAACCTTAACCATCTTACTCAGACCACCTTAACCCTAACCTTAACCATCTTACTCAGACCACCTTAACCCTAACCTTAACCATCTTACTCAGACCACCTTAACCATCTTACTCAGACCACCTTAACCATCTTACTCAGACCACCTTAACCCTAACCTTAACCATCTTACTCAGACCACCTTAACCCTAACCTTAACCATCTTACTCAGACCACCTTAACCCTAACCTTAACCATCTTACTCAGACCACCTTAACCCGAACCTTAACCATCTTACTCAGACCCACCTTAACCCTAACCTTAACCATCTTACTCAGACCACCTTAACCCTAACCTTAACCATCTTACTCAGACCACCTTAACCCTAACCTTAACCATCTTACTCAGACCACCTTAACCCTAACCTGAACCATCTTACTCAGACCACCTTAACCCTAACCTTAACCATCTTACTCAGACCCACCTTAACCCTAACCTTAACCATCTTACTCAGACCACCTTAACCTAACCTTAACCATCTTACTCAGACCACCTTAACCCTAACCTTAACCATCTTACTCAGACCACCTTAACCCTAACCTTAACCATCTTACTCAGACCACCTTAACCCTAACCTTAACCATCTTACTCAGACCACCTTAACCATCTTACTCAGACCCACCTTAACCCTAACCTTAACCATCTTACTCAGACCACCTTAACCCTAACCTTAACAATCTTACTCAGACCACCTTAACCCTAACCTTAACCATCTTACTCAGACCACCTTAACCCTAACCTTAACCATCTTACTCAGACCACCTTAACCCTAACCTTAACCATCTTACTCAGACCCACCTTAACCCTAACCTTAACCATCTTACTCAGACCACCTTAACCCTAACCTTAACCATCTTACTCAGACCACCTTAACCCTAACCTTAACCATCTTACTCAGACCACCTTAACCCTAACCTTAACCATCTTACTCAGACCACCTTAACCCTAACCTTAATCATCTTACTCAGACCACCTTAACCCTAACCTTAACCATCTTACTCAGACCACCTTAACCCTAACCTTAACCATCTTACTCAGACCACCTTAACCCTAACCTTAACCATCTTACTCAGACCACCTTAACCCTAACCTTAACCATCTTACTCAGACCACCTTAACCCTAACCTGAACCATCTTACTCAGACCACCTTAACCCTAACCTTAACCATCTTACTCAGACCACCTTAACCCTAACCTTAACAATCTTACTCAGACCACCTTAACCAGCCGCGGCGCCAGGGGTAGGCCTGGGTAGGCCGATGCCTACCAGTTTTTTTCTTGGCCTACTCAAATTTGTTCTTCGCCTCTCAAGTCATTAGCCTTTTTTATTAAAAGTCATAATTTAAATATTGTTATTTTTAAACACAAATTATTGCTAAAGCCTAAATGTTGCGTTCTAATGTTTTAAGAAAATGTAACCCCCTGAGCGTCATCACGTTCCTACGTTGCTTCAAATATAGTCCTGTTTATTGGCTGAACAATTTTGTCCAATATCATATCACACAGCGTGAAGCTCGTTCCCGAGAACAACCATTCCTCGTCTTAAAGATTGACAACGCTCTCAAAGCATTCACAACATGCAGCCTTTTTCATTTTAATTTTAAGAAAGTTCAGCGTGAACTTTGTGAGGCAGAGTAGCCAGAGGCCCGGGCCCGTAGGTCCCAGAGGAGGAGAGCACGGTCAGGCCAGGCATCGCACTGATGAGGTAAACTCTAGGCCTGTGTGAGACTCACTGTGGGCCTCACTGTGGGCCTCACTGTAGGCCTCACTGTGGGCCTCACTGTGGGCCTCATGTATGAAACCTGCGTACGGCCAAATCAGGGTGTAAATGAGGCGTACGCAAAATATTACACTTTTCCGCATTTATCTATCTGGACGTGAGCGTACAATACGCCAAAAATATACGCCAGGTCTGGAGGTGGTATAAATCTATACGCTGATCTCAACCTTCGGCACAACACGCCAAAACACGCATGAAATTCAAGATATGGACAACAATAAACATATTCCCTCTGGCAAAATTATATGCTGTGTTTTCATTGAGGATCATGTTTCAAAATTTGAATTTGCGCATCAGAAAAAGTCTAATGGAAACACGCAAACTTCGAATAAATCACAGCTCATGATGAGGACCCTCTATTAAATCTGACTTGTGTGTGTATTATTTTGATCTGTATGTTTTTAAAATGTGAAGCGCTATGTGATCCTGGACTGTCAAAGGCTCTATATAAATACACTTTACGCAACAGGGATGTGTGACCCATCTATTGCTGTGGCAGGCTCTGCGCTGCGTAATTACGCACGGCCTCATTCACATCTGGTAAAGCAATGTGTTATTTCATTAGATTTGTGTAAGCCTCACACAGACACACACCACAATAACACATCGATGGTATTGCTCACTCACAAATGTCTCACTGCCCTGTCCAGAGTGCGCAGCGAGTGCCGTGAGAGGTCGCGCCACATGTGCAGAAGTTTTGGCTCCAGAGTTTCTTTGTGAAATCTGGACCGCAAACGCTCTCTATGAAGTGTACAGCGCCTCAATGCGCACTTCTACCCCGAGCCAGGCTGCGTCCAAGACGCTGCAGACGCTTCATTCATGAGAGCCACCGCTGCATATGAATTAATTAATTCATTCAATCAATCTATATTTATTCACTTCTACAATTCAAGAGAGATTTTTCTAATGTATCAAAACATTTTAGCAAATTTGTTCAAAACGCAGCTGAATATATAGCGCATATTTATTATTACATAAACATGAACAAACAAACGTCCCTTTTGAGGCTTCCAAACAGTCTTTTAGGCCGGCTTCCTGCTGACCTGTCACGAAGACGTGGCGTGAAACACGCGATTGCTGCATAATAGGCGTGACTAAATACGTTTCATATTCAGCCGATTTATCAACACTCAGATCTGCTCAGATCTGGGCGGATCTCACACGTTCATAAATCCGACGTTGGATTTTGCGTAAATGGAATATACACCCAAAATGTACACCTTTTTCTACGCAGGTTTCATAAATGAGCTTGTGTGTATGTGTGTGCTTGAGTGCGTG